TATATATATATATATATATATATATATATATATATGTGTGTGTGTTCTTGCATGCATTTGCCCTGCTCGCCGTCATAGTTGTTGCTTTCTCCCGCCCATGAACAGTACGCTCGGTTTATGCGCCTGCGGAACGGCTTCACGCTACATGGGGTCCCCTACGTGGTAATTGTGCACGGCTCGGGAGATAAGACGGTCCCTCTGGACGACTCCATCCGCCTTCTTGAAACGGCAGATGGGCCGGGTCGCAGCCGTCTAGAAGTCATAAGTAAGTTGTATACGCAATCCCTGATAGGGAGTGGGCGTTCGGCCCTTGTAGAAGTGGCCTTAGCGGGAGAGTTAGGGAAACAGCTGTTTGGACTCCGTGGCTAGGGAGCAAGGAAAGGGACGGCAGCCGTTGAGCTTGTTTTTTTGCGAGCAGATGACTCACATGCGCTTAAGTCTATAAAGCCGGAGGAGTTGCGTCAGTGGGTTGAGGAAGTGTTCACGCAGGGTAAGCAACAAGTACGGCTTCTTGCAGATTCCGGCTCGAAAAATGTGGATCCATCGTTATATGAGTGGGGAGATCAGGAGACAGACGCAGGGAAGGCAGCGAAACTAGAACACGAAATGGGAGACGAGGATTCTAGCAGAGGAACTAGTGCCACGCAGGAGCCAACAGGAACGGGCAGCGTCTAAGAAAATAGATATAGGGTAAGTGCACTTCTGTGCATGATTATATGCGTAAAGCCGTGGCTGTTTGTTAGTGGACCCAAAGCCCCAGGAAACTGCACATCACAGAGGACAATGATGAGGGCAATTTCTTGTCCCTGATGACAGTGCGCAGATTGGTCGGTCCTGCTACGGTTAAATGGCTGGATTCATTGGCTCGTGTTTGATTTTTGTCTGTAGCATTGCAGCGCCGGAACTAGACGGTTACGGAGGAAACTGCTGGCATATCCAACCAGAATCTGCTGCGGGGTGCTATGAACAAGCAAATGACCACGACAGTGTGCAGCATTGGGGAGCACAGACAGGTTCCTGCGAGTCGGCTCTGCATAGTTGAGCAGCGGAAGGCTTATAATACGGATTCACGTACTACTGAGTTAACGACAGGCCAGGAGAGGACACCTTCGTTGTGCGGCCTCTGTGGTGTGTTCGCCCCTCCATCTTGCCATATCCTGTCGGATGAATGTAAATTTGAAGCCACTTGATGGCCAACGAGAGGATCGGATCAGTGCTGGTACGTGCCGTTACACCAGCTCGCATCTCTCATCAGAAGCAACGGCCGCTTGCCAGCAGGACGCAAAGCAGATTTGAGAGCAGTGCTGCGACAATAGGCGTTCCCCCAGGGTATTCGTTAGTCATGGATGGAAAAGGGTGAGGGGGGCTCATCGCGCGCTGCTCTGCAAGATAGCGATATTCATGAAACATAGGTTTCTGAAGAATACCAGGCGGTGTTCGTATCTTCAGGTAGATAAAACGTCTTGTTTGACCTAAACGTGTGTATGCAGGGCTTTTCCGCATTAGGGTAGGTAGCTGTAGAGGGATAATTAAGTAGGATACGATACAGAAGGCTCCAATGACTGTGGAACACTGCGGACGAGGGACCGCTTGAATTAATAATTAACGCAGCTCATAAGCGCTTCTGCGGAGGAACGAGGTTCGAACTGTCAGCCCCGTACACCCAATACACTGCCACAAAATAGATGTAAATAGATGGTACAGGGCCGGCGTAGGAAGCACTGTATGATAGGAGGCAGGGAGAGCCAGTTGGCCGCGTGGTACAATAGATGGGAAGGTGACGGTTTACATGAGGAATGGCCAACGACAACGAGACAAAGCTTGCCGTTCGCCGCTAACACAACCAGATTCGCCATTGGTTCGGCTCTAGATTGCAGCGGAAGTCTCTAAAAGATGGAAGCGAACCAATATGGCGCTTCACTGTAGCACGCCTGCTGCTGAGGTCAGCGCGGTACAGATGCTACAATCCTTCCTGCTGTGTAGTTCGTCGAGTGTCAAGCTGCTAGTTTGCAGTCATTACCTCTATGCCGCATGCGTTGCTGCAGGGATACTAAGTGCTGCAGCGTTTCTCTCGTGGTTTCACCTACCCGTAGCAACCTAGTGGAGCTGCTGCGGCCCCAATGCCCTAAGACCGACAGAGCCAGGGCAACTGCTTCAGCCGTACACACTCCTCCACTCGCTGCCACACTGGCAGGGGGAGTTCGTATCGCCCCGTACGCTCCCGACACGCGGAGCGCCTGTGCACGGTACGTGCTACTGCTGCTGCCACAGGATGCAGCACCATCAGCGTTGGCAATAGCTGCAACAGTACCACCACCAACACCAGGGCGAACACTGGCATGGTTTGGCGGGTTTACGCCTTCCCGAATGGGTATATGCACGGCGGGGAGTTGCTGTAGCCATGGTGAGGCTCCGAACATCTCTTTAGCCTCCTTCCATGTGCCATCTATAGCTACGAGGGTCACAGGGAGGCGAACGGGCAACGACCCAGCACCTAGAGCAAGGGAGGACTCTGTAGGGAAGAGCAGCAACATCTTGCTTGTGTCGCACGCCGCAGCGCCGTCGCGCGTAGAGAGGTGCTGCTGCTTATGCTCCGGCTCCGTCTGCTTTGGTTGGTGGGCGTGGTGCTGGTGGTACTGAGAGCCTTCCACTGCGCCTTCAATATTCCAGTCGTCCATTCCAACCTTCTCCAGTACCTCCCTCCCTGCAGTACTTGCTGGAAAGCCATGGGTAGGCCCTTCTGCAAGTCTACCCACTGCTTTTGCCTTTCCCTCCTGTTCCTCTCCCTTGCTTCCCCGCTTTTGCTGCTGCTCGGCAGCGAACGGGCAGCAACCGGGTCGCCTGTGGGGCCAAATTTCTACGCCCTTGACTAGCCTTTGCAGAACACTTACAGAGCCATTCTTCCTCTTCATTTCAAGCGGGTGCATGAATATAAGGACTCTGTTCACTATGGAGCAAACTTCAGGTTCAGAAAGACTTAACTCGCGCCCCTGTATGACGCTACAGTAACACACTGAACAGGGGCGGTCGCACCCTGAGCACATGCGACGACGCGTCGTGCGCTGCAGCTGCTGCGGCTGCTGTTGCTCCTCCTTTCGTCTTTTCCCATTTTGCTCATGATGGGGTTGCTCCGGATTGTGCTGTTGCTCCGGTGGCTCGTGCTGCATTTGCTCATGCTGCTGCTGCTGCTGCCGCTGCTGCTGCTGTTCCTGCGACTGCAGAATGTCGTCCATAATGACGTCTGAGGTACTGCAATCTCCGCAGAATTGTGCTTCACCTGGTTCTTTTTCTCGTTTCCCTTTTCCTGACTCTTCCCGAGACAGCCCTTTGGCACTTGAACAACAGCACTCCTTGGAGCCCGTTACATGCCTGCTTACAGCACCAACAAGGGACATTTCCCGGTCCCCTCTACCGAGTCCCCTACTATGTTATTGTCGAAATGCAGAGCTCAGACAAACTTCAATGGAAGGCGAGGAACCACTGCTACAGTTCGTCCTAGAGCGGGGGCGAAGTAGGCGTACTCCGTCATCCTATGAATAAAGCCTACAGCACGTATCCAGCACAAAAATATACTGCGGAGGCCTGCTGAAGCATGCAGAGAACAATATTCGTCCTACGAGGCAGTCTGTTGCCATGAACTGTCACGTCGGTAGTCCCCTCTGGGAGTCTCGGCCGAGGCCAAGTGGTTGTTATAAAGTTTAACACTGTACTCGAAGGCAACCTCTGGGTACGCTTAAAATATATCGGGCATATGAGGCCACTGAAACGCTAGGTAGGAAGTGCTCCCGTGTGGGGCTGCATGCTTTCGGCAGCGGTCAACCACACTGCCGCTGTAGTTTGCAACAGACACGGGAGAACAATTCCCTCAAATGCCACCTTTTTTATGGCTTTGGACAAAACAGCAGTGTAGAGAAAAAGGGCAGAAAACGGGGGGAGGCGATGAGCCGTCGTGTTGCCGTCTCAGGCCAAATCGACACAGACAACGCTGGTTCTGATCAGCGAAATGCATGAGGCAAAACAAAACTGAGAGCTGCAGGGTGAATCCTTGGTGTTTTTCATTCTATGGGGATATTTGTGTAGAAAGGTGGCTTAAAGTGTCTCAAGATGGGCCAGGAGCAGCCGGTGGCAGCAACAGGAGCTGCTGCCACACCGAACAGCGGCAGCAACCTTGAGCAGAAACATGCAGAGTACGAGCAAACAGCTCTCCGCCTCAGCCTGTGTAGCGATGAGTCTTTAGCGGTTGTGCTGAGGAAGCTGCTGCCGCGTGCAGTGATGGAGCTGATGACATGCCCGCCGGTCTCCCTGCCCAAGGCAAGCAGCAGAAAGCGCAGAAGCAGGAGCAGGTGCAGGCTCAGCATTAGGCGCAGCATAAGACCCAGCAGTCGCCGAAATACAAGTAATTGGACAAACGGTAAGGCGTTGTGCATTGCGGAGAGGGCGACCTCCTAGTGTATGTGCATGCGATCAGGTCATTGGAATTGTGAACAGCTGCCTCCGTCGTGTTAAGGAGTCCCAGGAGATTCCTGTGCCTGCAGAGGAACTGCTGTACCTTCTAGCTGCAGCAGAGCGACAGCAGCGTACGGGGGAGAAGCAGCAACTACTGGAGCAACAACTGGCGCAACTACAGCTCCCACCCATTCGACCTAGCAACTTGTCGGTGGTTAGAGGCATCGTCCCCCTGTTCGTCTCCATCGTGATACCTCGCAGAGATGCCCAGAACCTTTGTTCTCTTGGCCTGCTCCTGCTGCAGAAGTATGACGAGTGGGCCACCGCCAACTACCCCAAAATGCTGCTGCTCCTGTTGGAATGTCTCACAAAGCCTCAGGTCCTACAGATGCTGAAGCACACCTGCAACAATCCAGCTGGAATGAGCGTTTTAGAGGCATTCGCTGCAGTAAAGACGGAGGTCCTGGTTCCTAACACCGCTGCTGCCACCAGCAGCAGCAGCAGCAAGTTACCCTGCTGCAGCAAGCCGTCTCCTCCCTTACTTGCGGCCCTGCAGGCGATGTGCGAGCTGATGCTGCTTGGGGGGGACTTCGGAGCAGCAGCGGTGACGGAAGAGCCGCTGCAGAAGCAGCAGCTACAGCAGAAGGCGGAGCAAGTTGCACGAGGAATTGACTGGACGGCATTTCACCGATGGGAGAAGCTACGGAGCCAAAATGCTCGCCGAGGAAAGATCGGTGCTTTTGTCCGGTGTTCCTTCGTCGACGTACTGGGGTCGCAGCAAACAGATTCTGCACTCATAGGAGAAACAGCTTCAACAACACCTGCAACAACGTCAGAGCCAGGGAGGGGCCTTCCGGTCGATACTGTCAAGCTGTGGGAAAACTGTTGCAGACTCTCAAGGCAAGAGTTAGTGCTTCAGCAGACACGTGCAGTGCAGCTGTTGACAAAAGTTGCTAGTGCTGTTCCTGTTGCAGACGAGAAAGTAGCAGCAGCAGCATTTGCTGCTGCTGCTCCTAACGCAACTGGTACTTCGCTTGGGGATCCAGAGGCAGGGAATTACGCTCAAAGGTTGGGAAATGTAGCGAATGCAGCACAAAGAACAGTGCCAACAGCACTAGCAACTGGAGCAGCCGTGGAGACAGCAATAGTACCAGAACGAGGCGAGAAAATGGTTTTGCCTCCAGTCGTACTTGGGCCAATCATCTTGGGAAGCTGCGTCCCTTTTGCTTCGATCTCCGACCCGTGCACCGCTTCGCTGACTCGGCTTGCGACTGTGGTAACTGGTGCTGCTGGGTTGGCTACTGGGAACACTGCTGCCGCTCTCCCTGTCAATGCTGGGGTTATTGCTGCTGTCAACTGGTATTCGTAGTTGCTGCTGCGTGAATGGATATCAGAAGCAAGACACTGGCTGCATCAACCTTATCATCCGCTTCCAAGCTCGCGTTTGTGGTTGCAGATGTCTGTATGCAGAGTAACACGGAAGACGAGCTGCTGATTCAGTTGCTGTTTGACTTGGTTCTCCTCCGCCCACTGCGGCAGCTGCAACAACTGCTGAGGCTGCCGTTTTTGCTTGGTCAAACAAGCCTTCGCACTCAAGATTCTCGGGGCCCACTGCCCAGTAAGGTGCAGCAGAAGCTGCTGCAGCAATTGTGCAAAAGCAGGGCTGCTGCAGAGAGGCGGTTTTGCTTTGCCGTGCTGCAACTGCAGTGGGAGGCCCTGGGCTTGTTGCAACAGACATTGCAGTGGGGGATCGGCCCTGGGCAGCCTACTGCCCGCGTTAGCGCTGCTCTGTCTCTTCTACAGTGGTGCTTGCGGCTGCAGCGCTGGTTTTGCTGTGACGTGCATGCAGTTGATGCTGCAGCTGCAACGGGTGATGCGCCTTCCACAGATGCACCGCAGCAGCATTCGTTGCAACAAAGGGTGCTCTGCCCCTCCGGGGCTCGTGTAAGCTGCTTGCTTTTGGATTTCTTCTCCCGGGCACTCGAACAGCTGCTTCTAGTAGCTGTACCTCCGGCGTCAGAGCTTGTTGCTTCTGATTTCCTGGGGCCATATACGGCCTTCGCTGCTTCTTCCGATGGGAGGAACCGCAACGCTTTCACCGGGGCCCAGCAAGTGCTGCAGCAATTCATGCAGTGCTCAGCTGCTGTTTTTGCTGCCGATGCTGTCTTGTCTCCTGATCTCGTATACCAAATTAGCCTAGGCACAATACCTCCTACGCTTCGTCCAAGCACTGCAGCAGAGCTGCTGCTGCAGCCGGCCACCCGTGAGCTCCTGCCTCTTCTCCTGGACGCGATATCCACTGCCTGCCGCGTTTTTCCATATTCTCCCATTCTTAACGACACCAACGGCAGCAGCCCATGTTGCAACGGGACATGTTCGCTTGTGTGTGAAGTGGAAGACGACGTGTCGTGGAGTGAATCATTTGGTATGACAGTGACAGAACGGATGCTGCAGCTGATGCAGCAGCTGCTACTGCTACTGCCTCGTGCTATTGAGGCTGATGCACAGCAGAAGGGGGCAAAGGTGCAGTCACAAAAACGGCGCGCGGCGTCTGCTGCTCTGTCGCTCAGCGGGACCTTGGACAACCCTACCACACCTTCGGCCATGCAGGCGCTGCGCAGCTGCGGTGACTGGCTGGCGATGCGATTAGGTTCTCTTAGACAGACTCTGCAGCACCAGAATCAATTGCAGCAGCAGCAGCAACAACATGTGGCTCTGCGGAGGCTGCAACACCAGCACGATTATCTCGAGGAACAGCTAATAACACTCCTGGACTGGACGGTGGCTAGATGGCTCAATCCCCCAGAAATTGCAGCAGTTTTGCACGCATCCCAATCGAAGAAAACTGAGTTCACTGAGCCACTTGTTGAGGCGAGTCAAAGCGAATCCCCAGTTAGTTCTGCAGCATCACAACAGCTTCTGCTCCAAGAAGCCTTGCGGTTGGCCGCGAAGGCATTCCCCACCAGCCACCCTGCCCACAGGTGAGCGACACCGCAACCAGCAGCAAGACCACCAGCAGTAGTACCACTATGAAGGGGCTAAAGTGAGGGGCATGTTCTTGTGTTTCTGTGCCACTGATTCAGCTTTTACTGCATGGTGTGCTTAACTTTGGATACCTCTAGTATCAGCAGTGGCCGCGGCAGTAGCAACACGTCGAAGGAGGCTTCTGTGGCTGAGACGGCAGCGGGTCTTTTGAAACAGTGTGAACGCCAGGAACTGCCGTCTTTCGCTGCATTGCTGCATTTTTCGCTTCCTCGCCTTGATTCAAACAGGGCCAGAGCTGTTAGTTTTGAAGGGGCAGTCTCGCAGCTACACGCTGCTCACTTATCCATAAAACCCCGCGATGCACAGCAGCAGCTAGCTGCAGCAGTCAACTCATCACCAGAAGAAGCAGCAGAGAGGCTGCTACCTCTCGCAACTCGGCTTGCGGAGCTACTGCATGGTGACCTCCGGATAAGTGCGTGCGAGCGCCGTCAGAGGACGAATCAGCTTTTTAAAGAAGATTCTGGAGCAGATGCAGCCAGTGGATCTACGGCAGCTGCGGCTCCCGAAGCAAACTTACCCACAAAGAAGCTGCGTCTTACCTCAAAAGAAGCACTGGAAGTTGCTGGAGGGGCGTCAGGACTTTGTGCAGAAGATATGCGCTTATTTTCTGTCCTGCTCCTACCGCTGCTAGTGGCTAGGCATGCCGATGAGGCATCCAACGCTTCAATGAGGTGCACCTTTTGCCGGTGTTGGATGGCGTTGTTGAGGTGGCAGCAACAGCAGCAGCAGTGCGGAGGGCAAGGTGCATCCCTCTTGCCTTTGCTCTCCCTGCAAATTCCGTTGCTAGTATCTTCAGTTTTGTTTTCACCACTGAGTAGTTCCTTCACCTCTGCTTCCTTTGATGCTGACCCAGAACCAGAGAAGAAGCGCAGACCGCTCCGATTTACAGTCCAGCAGTCACAAGAAGATGCGCGAAGGGCTGCAGCGGATTTAGTGCTTTTTGTTGCAGCTGGATTGCAAGAGCAGCAGCAACATCAAGAAAAAGAGCCGAAGGAGTTCCAACTATCAGGGCAGGACCTCCTCCTTGCAGCATTCCTCCCTTTCCTCTCAGGGTCTGCCTTCGATGCGCAGCAGCTGCTGGAGCCTACGACCTTTTTTGCAGGACCGTCCTTGCACCACCAGCAGCAAACGCCGCCTAATGACGCGTTGTATCTACAGCTAAAGGAAGCGGTGAATCAGCATCAGGAACTGTCGTTGCACACTCAAGAGCAACAGAAACAGCAGACTCAGCGTCTGCCAACACCGGGAGAGCTAGCAGGGAGCCTGGTTGCCTTGGGTTCCGCTTTTGCTACTGGAAAGAAAGCCAGGAGCAGTAGTGGCGGCAGAGACCCATCTAAGGAGCTTACCCTGCAGGCAATCGCTTCTGTGCTGAAGCACTTTTGCTTCTGGGCCGCTACGTACTGTGGAGAGGACTGTGTACAAGGGTCATTTCCGCTGCAGGAAAAGAATCAGCATGGAATGACTGCTTTTGCAGCTTACGCCCAGCCGTGGGGGGATTCCCTTTTGCTGTGCAGCCTAGAGGCACTGTCGCGAGCCCTGGGGGGTCACTGGCAGTCTGTGCTAGTTGCGATACTTTCTCTGGACGAAGGGAAGCAGCACGCGCAGGACAGTCAGGGAGCGGAGGAGCAGAACGGAAACAGAGACGTCGCCGCAATTGAGTCCTTGCTGTCCCTTTTAACTACCATCTCCAAGGCTAGTCTTAGCCGATGCGCCGTTCCGGAAACTGGGTCCCTGCTGCCTGCTGCAAGTGCGTTGCACCCTAGCTTCTAGCCTGTCTTATGGACGGTTCAGCGTACTGCTATTGAGCCGTCAACTTGTCGGGGTTGTGTTTGCCATGCTGCTCATGCTGCGGTGCTGTGTGATCCAGATACCTCCCAACGAAACGGTCTGCTGCTACTCCACTCCTCTCTGCAGTCAGTTGCTTCCTTGGCAAGTCTCTGCGCAGCGCAAGCTTGCAAGTCCTGCAGCAGCAGCAGCAAGCGTGCCGCGTGGACAGGGCCATACCACCGAGCTGTCAGATGCCTGTTGGAAACAGCACATCTGGCTGCACCACCGCTCCGCTCCGCCTCTGCCCTTGCTGTGGTGCGGTTTGTGCTGGATTTACACCGCATGCGCTCTGCACTAGCTGCAGAAACAGTAGCCGCAGAGACAGAAATGCAGCATCTGGCGGAGGAGACAGCGATATCTGGGGAAATTAAGCAGGTGTTGAGGTTGTTCGTACAGCTGGTGCAGCTTCAACAGATGGATGCAGCGTCAGACGGAAAGAAAGTCTCAGCAGGAGAGGAGGAGCAAGCTGAAGCAGCAGCGCTTGACGCTGCAGCAGATTCCGCTGCAGCAAACGGCATCAATGGAGACCTCGCCCGGCTAGTCTTCGCCTCACCGAATTTACAAGTTTCTTTGTGGCAAAGGGTTTCCAGCTCTGCGGTATGCTGGCTTGCAGCACTCTTGCTACATGCAAAGCATTTGCCGGAAGTGTCTACTATGCTGCTTCAGTTCCAGCGAGTTTTTCTGTCGAGAGTAGGGGATGCCGATGCGTTTGTGGGCCACTGTGCATGGCGGGGACTAAGCCGGTGCCTGCTTGCTGCTTCTCTGTCAAAGACATCCGCATCAGCAGTGACATCGAAGGGCGCTGAAGGAACAACGGCGCAGAAAGCTACGGAGACGACTGCAGTGGCAAATACCGGGTCAAACGAAAGATCACTCACGATGCGGGATATGCTGCTTCATGAGCTGTCTCTCCACGTGGGCTCTCGCATTTCAACTGGCCCTAGTGAACAGGCACTAAAGATGCAGGGCTTTTCTTTACAGCGCCAGCAGCAGCAGAAAGATAACAGCAGAGACGAATCAAATGGTTCTTCATGTGCCACTTCAGGTGGACTGCAAGATAAGGACGGCGGAATGACAAGGCTGAAGTTGCTTCGACAACTCCTACAGGTAGCAAAAGATATTGGACACACGGCAGCTGTGTATGCACTGCTTGACCAGCCCCTCCCGCCTCTGTTTGTGGAGCCCTTATGCGTTGCTGCCTGCGACGTCTCCACTCCTTGCTTCTGCCTACCGGCTCTTAGACAGCAACTTCTACGCGTTCCCCACCGCAACGTAGAAACTGTTGCGTCGGCTGAGTCTGCTACACCTACTGTGGGCACTGAAACATCCGCAATATCGGAAAGTGTAGAACCCGGGGATGAGACAGTGAAGGGAGCTGCAACCACAGCAACGGAAGAGCTGGAAACGTTGGTGGTGGAGGCCCAGGTCGCAGCCCTGAGATTTTGTTGTCCCTTGTCCCTCGTTTTCGGCCTCTCCGTCTACTCCTGGCACTCAGTGGCGCCGCTTAGGCAAGCAGCAGAAATGCTTTCACAGGCAAGCAACCAGTAGATGGGACATTACAGAACCCATGTCGAAACCCTCCAACGGGGACAGGCACAGAACAGCAAGACAGATGCGGCGAAGGTTCGCAAGGCCATCAACGGACACCATGGATAATTACTCCATTATCGGTAGCAGCAGTGATTAGGTCGCTCCCCTGATTGTAGCTTTACCCTGCCTATCCTGTGCTGTTTCTCGTTCTGACCTTGTGCCTTTTTCAGTCGGTCTACGGCATCTCCTCTTTCGCCGATCTCGTCGGCTCTGGAAATGGTCTCACCATGTTCGTCTCTGCATTGAAACAGCAGAAGCACGCGAAACAGAAGGTGCAGCTATCCACATGGCAGCACATCGTACAGCAAGTTGTCAAGCGCCTTCAAAGCCCCAATCAGCTCCTCAGAGAAGCCGCATGCAAGGCGGGAGCAGACGTCCTGAAGAGGGGTGCGTCGCCCCGATTCCACCTCGTTACCACCATAGCTTGCGTATTGCACCTGTGTACATTGCTGCCCTCTCTTTGTATTTAATCCCACGTTTATCTATCATTGAACGCCTCAAGCATCTCATGGAGCGTTAGGTTTTGCTCTCCATTTGACTTGGGGTCCTTGCTGCTGCTGGGTGTGTCAGTGATGTCGCGCTGTCAGCAGCTTCGAAAGCTTTTCCTTTTTCTCTGCTTCGACCTATACCTTATCAGGCCATGACTGGGGCGAGGTAGAGCCGTTCTTTGCAGACCTATGGCTCTCCGGCGCTCGCTGTCTAGATGATGTCGTTGACGAAGTAAGGGCTGCAGCGGCGGCCTTAGGGCGGACCCTCAAGGCCCTCACAGTGGAGCTCTGCCGCGAGGGGCCCCCACTCGTGGCCTCAGTCTCCCTGCTTCAGAAGATATGTGAACTTCATGGAGGAAACAAAGAGGTATCATTCACACAACCGTTGAAGCACGATATTGGCGCGTCTCCGGCATCTCTCTGCATGTGTCATTGTCTTGCGTATCCTCGTGCAACAACAGCGCCGCAGACGTCCAGCTGTGTCTTTCACCGGTGTTCTTGTCCTTTTGTTTTCTTGAAAATTTTGCTGCAGCTTCGTATCCTCTGCTTAGACGTTCTCGGAGACAGCGTCTCCAACTACATCGCATCGAAGAGGCTCAAGCAATCCAGAGAAACCGTCAAGGTAGACGAGGAGACCCACGCCAGACCGGTCATTGATGGCACCTCCACCACCACCAGCGACAGCAGTAGCAGCAGCAACAAAGACTGGTTGGTCCCTTTGGTGTTGTTTCTTATTGAAGGCTTGGCGGCCTTTGAGCCTCGTGCCTTCTCTTTTCACCAGTTTCACGCTGAGAGACTGCACGGGGTCTCGCAGACAGACTTCGAGAAAACCAGAGTGTCTCTTTCACAAACGGGCAGGGCAGCCCAAATACTTAAAGATATTGTGAGGCCCCTCGACACTACTTGCTGCGCTTTCGCTTTCTGTATGTACTGATCCCGCTGTATTCTCTCCTCTCCCTTGGACTTCGCATCAGGGGATTAGTCACTGTTCCCTCTTTCATTCGGCTTCTTCACTCGTATATCTGCTTTCCTGCTTGCTGTTGGCGTGGCTTGAATTTGGCCTCCGCCTGGCTTTTGTTTTTCTACGTTCGTCAGGATTATGTCACCTCCTGTTGTCGAACTGGGCAATCTGCATATCGCGTGACTTATTACATGTGTTTTTGCTCTGTTACCAGTGCAGGAGTAGTAACTGTCGAGTGAGTGTGTTGCTGGTGTACATCTGGAGATGCTGCTGCCTTTTTTTCTCCTGCTGCTGTTCAGGCTCGGCACATGGACCTGAACGCCGTGGGGCCTTTGGTACAACCCTTGGTGCACAAGCTACGAGCCAGTGTTGGAGTGGCGAGTCGTTGCGGTGTTTGTTTTTTCGTCTGTTGGTTGTTTGACGAGTGGGGCAGTAAAATACCCGAGGTGGCCATACACTCAAAGCGACTGCTAAAGGCTTTTGCCCGCAGTCTTCTGGACCCTTCACCAACTGTGAGAGGGGCTGCAATCGAAGCGTTTTCTGTTGTCTGCAAGTTTGCTAGCCCACAGGCAATGCAAGAGGTAATGTTTCTGCCCCCGCTTGGAGGCCCTTGAGTATCATTTAACGAAACCCACCAACCGTTATCTTAGTCCGGCCTTTTGCATTTTAGCCTGTCGGTATTGGTGTCCATCTGTCGTTTCTTGTCGTATTTACCACTGCTCTTGTGTTCACTGTTTGTCGTGGTATAGCAGGCATCTTACGCATATGCTTGGTTGGCGACGTACGTTTGCGTCTGGCTTGCGTTCGAAGTGCTTTTTTTTATTATTGTCTGTTATGACGCCTGCATAGGTGCTAGAGAAGCAGCTACTGCAGCTGCCAGCGCCTGAATGCATCAACCCCCAGGAAAGAGAGGAAACGCAGCTCGCTGTGGGAAGTGCCCTTCTGCATGTCTCCAGGTACGGCTTTTGTGTATCCAAATATGTTTGACTTTGCCTTTTCAAGCCCCCCGCCCCCTCTAGTCCCCCGATCCCCCTGTCTGTTTTTTTTTATACGCATTTCACCGGCATCCTCCAGTTGATCATGATTCTTTTTAAGCATTCCAGTCTCCCTGCACCCAATCTCTTGATTCTGTCATTGTAGCCGTCTCTTCTGTAGGCGTGTGTGCTTGTACTATTGCTTCCCTCTGGCTGTACAGGCGAGCCAGTGAGCTGTTTAATGAAGAACTGAAGGGAACCATTGGAGCCATGGCTTTTTGTCTACGCCATAGCAGTATTTCGGGTGTTTCCGAGATTTATAGGGATCTCTGGATGGAAGTTGCTGGATCGGACGCCTTTGGAATACCACGCTACCTTTGTCCTATTAAGGCAAAACTGCAGGAGCAGCTCGCACTTTCTGTACGGGAAGAGAGACTCACCGCTGCGCGTGCTGTTTCAACCATAGCAGCCCACGTCGCCTCCATCTGGAGAGACGGAATTCCTTCGTACGTACACCCAAGCCCTATACTACTTAGTGCCTTTGCATGAAGAAATCGATAACAAAACAGGAGGCTGGTTGTTTTGATCAGATAATGCTTCGAGGTGTCTCTGCGCAATTTTTCTCTCTCCTGGATGCTTGGTCGTAGTGCTTGCTATAACTATTGTGCTGTGTCTTACTTCGCTGTGTGCTGCGTCCCCAGAGAATTTACAGATCTCCAAGAAGTGTCTGTTATCAGGGATCTGCAAGAGGCCGTCACGGGACGTGTGCTGCAGGGCCAGGCGTCCTTTAAGGGTGCAGCACCTCTATATATTGCAGCTCTAGATGCAAGCGCTGCGCTTGACGGGATGCTTTGGCTCCAGGGAGAGTGTGGATCTACTGCACCGGGAAAACAGCATGGAGCCGAGTCCAGATCGCCAGATGCAGCAAACAGAAGCGGTGCTACCGTCGCTAAGCGTCTGCTACGGTTACATGCTAGCGACAAACTGGCAGTAGTGGTGCACATCCCCTCGTGGCTGCAGTTACTACCTCCCGCAACTCGGGCTTCCCAGCCGTTTGATGAGCTCCTGTCCCTGGTTCACTATGTATGCCTTGAACCGCATCCCCTGCACTGCTTTTTTAGGAGTGTGCAGTGAAGGCTCACTTTGTGGTCGTAGGGCTTTAAGCACCTGGTTGTGGGGCTGCGTGCGGAGGTTGTAGGTTTTGCAAAGGGTGGATCAGGGGTTCCCTGATGAAAACGAGTCGGGAGAAGAGGGTGGCCTGGAGAAAGGGAATGCTATGCAACAGTGGAGTACAAGTTTTACCAGCAACAGACAACTGAACTCCCGCGATGAAACTGCGCTTCGAGCAGGCATGTTGGCGCTGCTGCGCCTTATGGGGACTGATATTTGCCTAAGGCTTGGTGTCGATAGCGAGCCGAAAGCAACAGAGGGAACAGGTAATGAAATTTTCCGGCGCGATAAATCGAGTCTTGACTTCGGATACGTTGTAATGCTGGTCTTGCTGCTGTGGCTGCTATTGTTGCTACTAAAGTATGTGTGTGTGTGTGTGTGTGTGTGTGTAAATTTTGCGGTTGACAAAATTTTGGATTCCCTAGAACTGGAAGAGACAGATATTGCATGTCTGCCGGTTGCTTCGTGGATCACCTTGCCAGCCAACGAAGAAGGCAAAGGTGTCGCAGCCTTTACTGCGTGGAAGCGCAAAGGCAGCGATAGCTGCAGCAGTGGCAACAGTCGCACCAGCAGCAGTGGACATGCCGGTATAGAGGAATTTTTGGATTTGTTCGTCAAGTATCAACTGACGTCCGTACAGCTCAAAGCTGACCTGTTACAGGTTCGGATATACCCGTTGTTGTTCATCTGTGCTATTTCCAAAGAGTGGTTGGCGCATTCACCCTTGCTGCTGCTGGTGTTGCTGTAGGCATGGGAAAGACATCAGCAGCTGCCTGGTGTCTTCTTTTTGTCTGTTGCGGTGAACAGAGGCTTTCGGATCTGCTTAGACTTCTGACCAGCCTGTCTGTTTGCCTTTGCGCCGTTGCGGAGCCTCGCAAGTGGTGGGCTGTCTTCAGTCGTCTGGCAGAGCAGCTCAGTCAGCGAAAGTACCCAAGGCTCAGACTCGCTGCAGCAAACACTGCAGCAGACCTCGTGCGGCACTACATACACGTTGGTTCGATTCGTACCAAACAACATGAAGACCAGTTACATAAGCAGAAGAAGGAAGGAGTAGCAGAGGAAGATGCAGCTTTGACAGCTAGCGCACGCATCGAAGGTGGCGACACTGAACTACACCGCAACTTTCGCCTCCCTGTTGGTGATTCGCTGACGGTATCAAGGTGCCTAGCAGCTGTAGAATCAGGAATAACAGGACCACTGCAGGCAGCTTCTGCCGGCAGCCAGGGGACCTGGTCAGTGTTTTCCCTGTGCGTATCCCAGCCTTCACAGAACGAGCAGCAGCAGCAGGAAGAGGACAGCTTGAGCGAGATGGGAGGTCGAGTCCAGGAGATGCAGAGGCATCTTCGCCTCCGTCTTAGCGAAGCCCAGGAGAGAGAACAAGCCTGCTGCAGAATGTCTAGCAACGGTACAGCCACCAACCCTGAGTTGCCCCGTTGAGAAAATTGGGTCCTGCAGAAGTCTTCTCTGAGGTTTTGAAAGGGCCAGCCAGAAGCGCACTGAAAGCCTCCTCAAAAGTATTTTGTGCTCCCTTAGACAGCACGTTGTTTACGGGGTTCAACTCGCCTGAATGGATGTTAGTCCATTTACTTTTGTAGAAACCAGCTAAGTCGTTAACAATTGAGGATTGCATTGAACGTGATCTGCTTGACAGTAGCTTGGCATCCTTATGTTGAAGCTCTCACGACAGCCTGTGCTGCGGCCTAGCCAATGCTGGGCAGCTGTTGATGGGTGGGTGACGTGTTTGACGCCACGCGATGCCAAAAGTGATGGATGTTAGCGGAACTTCTTGCACATATTTAGAGTAGAGTCTTCTCCTTTTAGAGGGAGTATCTGGCCTTGGCAGTTGCTGTGACGAGATTTGGGTAGGCCACATACAGTGTTGTCCAGCATGTTTTTTTCCATATGTACACTGTCTGACGTGGGATACATTTAGTAGATCGGAAAAGACATTTAGGAGCTGAAGAAAAGCTAACGGCATCCAGGAACGCGGCTGCATGCCGGGCGCAATGCGGTGGTTCAGTGGTCTGGCCCGACGGTGCGTAGATGTTTTGCTGCATCTAGGCAACGAAGTAGTATCGTTGTTGAGCTAAATTCTAGATTGTTCAGTTTGTTGTCAAAAATAAGGATACAGCACACATATTTAAGGGTGAGGAATGACTATATTTCTGCCTTCACACCCTACCCACCATCAGCAAATCATTTGGCCGGTAGTTGCAGTCCTTGTTCAGACTCCTACTGGAAAACACGAATTTGACTTCCCTCTGGCTGGATGAACGTCTTTCACAGTATATCTCTCTCAGGGGGGTAAGGTGCGTACGTCTAGCGACGGACACCGTTGGCGAGCAATCGTGCGGGTCACTGTGCGCTAGGTATGACAAACACCCTTGGAGTCTGCTTACCCCTCTCTTTTTGCGCTTGTAACTGTCCAGCATGACAACTTTTTCTACCATGTCGAGATTCAGGAAGGTGGCCGCTATTGCAGTTTTTGTATCCATGGCTTACGCAGCCTCGGTCTTTGCAGTGACTGTGCGGCCAGTAAGCGTTGCTCGAAGTCACTGGGACCAACTGGAGGCGTTTCCAGAGTCGTTTGGTCTGAGAGGCTCAGCCACAGCAGCACGAAGAGTGGAAGCAGCTTCACAGAAAGCGGAGGAGGCCAACACCGGAGGGTCACAGACCCAGGAACTTTACGGGCACGAAGATAGCGACTGGGATGATTGGAGCGTGTCGTTTGTAGAGGGGCGGCTGCTTGAATCCTCTCTTTTGGAGAAGAATTCAATGGGAAGCTCCACTAGCTGCTCTGTTTCGTTCTCGGACGGCTATTCTGTGTCTCCTGTAGTGGAAGTTAAGGGAGGAGGAACAGGGCATAACACCGCTACAGCTGTATTCGTTGACGAAAGCGCTCGGTATTGGCTGCATGGGTGGCAAAAGGGGATTCGCGTTCCGTCAAGCTTTCGCTTTGGAACGGAGGGGACAGACGGAGACTACGCCGATATCCATCCTCCAGTGGACACAGGAAGGCACACTTACACAGTTGTACTCTACAAAGGGTCTTTGGAACCTGGTCCACTCCTATCATCTCTACAAGGAACTGCTTGGAGTCATAGAAAACGAGCTGTGGGATCGTTACTTGCCATTGTGGATGACTTTAGAGTTCGAAACGAAGGAATGCCTGTGGAGGAACTGTGCAGGTGCTCAGTACTCGTTTCTCATGAAGACATTGCCCAATAGAAGTCAATTAAAAGCGGCGGAATATGTACTTAAACTTTAGTCCTTTGTGTTCAATTTTGCATCATTTCCTGCTTAGGTGGCGCCGCACCAGGAGCGGTTGCATAACAGTGAGGCTGGGAATGCGCAAGAGGACTACCTCAAATTATTGGTTTTTCGACTGGCCAGAAAGCTTTTCTGGCTGCCAACAGTTACTCGATTAAAACCACCATCAACGGTGAAGGTAAAAAATACCGTTGGTCCAAGGTGCAGCTTCCGATATTGCTCAGGCCGTAGTGTTTTTCCTGAGAGGCATTAAAGAGTCCCTTCCATGGATGCACACTGCATTTTCTATTCGCTTACCTATAAGCATTCTGGCCGCCTCGTATTTTCTGAAATTATGAGAGAGCTGACCACGATACTGTGAAATGTGGCCTTGACCCGTCTTTGACAGTGAAGGCCTCATTGCATGATATTTGACTACATATGCGATGACAGATGGATCAAGGAGCGCTCATAAAACTGTGCTCCATGCAGGGCTTGAACAGCCTTATGGGGGTGTAATGGTGATTTCAATATAGCGGCAGTACACGAATGCCGTAGAAGCTCTAGGCTTCGTATACAACAGAATAGCAACAAATGTTTCATTGGTTCCTGAACAGGTACAGTGGAATATCCGCTGCCGAAGCATGTCCAGGAGAGCACCTCCCTGCTTCTAGCGGCCCCTGGGTTATGATGAACCCCGCTGCCGCCAAGACGGGGGTCCTGGTTGTCGTACTGTGGCTTGCCGATCTACTTGCGCAGATTAGCAACCGAGGTTCGACTAGGGGTTTTACAGCTGTGTAAAGCAGTATATCCCATGCATCTAAACGGCGTCTAGATAAACTTGCTGGTGGGGTTCTAGTCTTACCTTGCGGCATGAGTTGTAGGAAGGAACGCTGCATCTGAAGACTATGGTCTAAGGGGTGGTTGGGCGGCCGGGGATGTGTTGTTGAGTTGAGCTACCCCTTTTTGTAAGGCGGATTAAGATAGCGTTCTGGCACGATTCAGACCAGGCAGATATTTGCTGTCTTTCTTCTTCCTGCTTTGCCATTCCTGTGCGTTGCGCTCCACAGCGCGCCACGAAAGTAACAGCCAAGAAAATCCTTCAGTCCAACGATTATATAAGGACTCAGCCTAGTGAAGTTAAGTGCGTGTTTGTGGTGATGAATCATTGGAGTTGACGACGCTTTGCTTAAGGAACGCTAAGACATTAGACCTTGGTTTGACAGTCCACCTCTAATGCCTTGCAACCTTGGCGCAGTGTTCGCTGCTGCAATTAAACTCTTACTGCTCGCGAGACAGTTGCGTTCCTCTAGTAGAATGCCCTCTAGATTACACTACCAGAGGAATGTAATGGTGCCTTCCGTTGCCGAAGTGGTGCAGAAATTGTTCAGAGCTACACGAACCCCACTTGGCGCCACCTGCGCTTAATTTTCAAACACGAGGGGAGCTTACCCTCACAACTAAGTGATTGTCGAGAACTTCAATAAACCCCATGTGGCCGTCTTCTACTCAGAGCCACTTATGATCCATATTTCGATACTACCGCAGACTATGCAGTGGAGTGCCCTGCTGTGCGGTGAGGTTGCTTGTTTGCACCTGCTTCTGGGGGATGAAATGCGGTGCTACAAAGCGTAAAGCGGATCCATAAATATAAGTTGGGGCCTATTGTCAACTGCAATAAAATCAAAGCAATAAAATCAAAATACATGGGGTGGGATTTCCATAGTGCAACTGGCCCCTCTCTCCAGGCCAAAAACGGCCTGGGCGCAGATGGTCAAGTTCCTGAAATTGTAGGAGGTGAGGCGGCCTGCGGCTAGTTGCAACCAACCGTGCGTCAACTAACGGTGCAGGGCAGCCGCAGAAGCAAGCACGAGCAAGCGCTCGCGATTGTATGCAATAACGCCGTTGGCAAGTGCTTGCTTGCCATTTCTTTAATGGGGCCGGGTAAGAATTCTTCTGCCCACTTCAGACAGACTTGTTAACTCCGCAGACAATATGCTACATTGTCTAAGCTCTCGCAGCACCAGGTGTTCGAATCGATGCTATCGGTCCTCTAGAGAAACTGGGAGTACAAGTCCGCTGGTTTTCGGGAAGTCTCATCTCAAGTATCGGCTCCATTGCAGCTCGCAAAACTCCCCTCTGATGATCGAGTACGCGCGCTACACAGTACAAGCAAGACACTCCATATGCAAGCACAACAACGCCCCTTTGCATCCACTAAATGTGAACAAGATTTTTGGACATTTAGCTGGTACATAATCTCCACCCTGCTTTCAGGGTGGCGATTATGTCAATGAGGAATTCTCGACAGTTCAACTAACTGCTTTAAGTTAGTTGAACTGTCGAGAATTCCTCATAGACGAGGCTACAGTTGCATTAAGACGGAGAATACCGCCGCTAACAAATCACTTTAGGGCAACTCTTGTCTGGATCTTCGGGTTTACATCTACTCATTAAATGTTATTACTAGTTGTGGCCACAAGAAGTGTGTGCGTGAAGAACACAGGAGAATCCCGGGGCTGCTCAAGCCGTGGATGGCCTGCAGTTGTACGCATAGGTAGACCGGAAGAAGCGTTGACTGCATGACAATGTTGGCGTTACATCTAAATCATTACAGGGTCTTTATTTACCAAATCATGGCGGTAGCGTTAAAGAATAAGTGCAACGAATAATTTCAATGTTTTTCTCTCTGATTCATTTCCACCTATGCTGTCGCCGCATGCAGTCCTGTTGAGCGCTCTTCCGGGCGACGTTGGATTTTCGGTCGTTCCTAAGACAGTTTGTTAGCTTAAATTGAATTCGGATGTTAATCGCCGTTTCCAATCCTTAGGTTGGTTTCAGTCAGAGTCAGCAACACTCCGCCAGAACCCTTCCAGGGACCTTTTTTCCCGCTTCCAGGATGACTCACTGGGGCGGAGGAAGCAGCGCAGCTGCGATGTTTCTCCGTCTAAGCTGTCCGCGATTTTACTTTTCTCCGGCGCCTCTTCAGTCTATCTCCCCAACAGACCCAAATTTTTGCCCTTCAGGGGCAGACAGCGGCACCAAGAGACCATGGCAGGGAATGGACATGCGGAAAATATACTCCCACAAATTTGTCAGTCACAGGGTAACTCGTGTTCCGATGACTTCAGGTAAACCATAGTAGCTAATAAGAGGTGACCAAAGTTCAGCTTACCAGCGCTTGCGGTGTTTGCGCCGGTTGGTCGGGCACGCCCCCTCGTGACTTTCTGGTGCGCATGTGGCCCTCATTTGTTTCCAGGTTACCAGTACTTAAGTTTTACAACTCCCTCTATTTATGCGCCGAACCACGAGGATATTGCCGTTTTCTTCGACACAGAAAACTGGTACAGAGAATACACCGCCCGTCAGATTTTAAAGGCTGCATGGCCGCAGTTACGTTTTCTACTGATGGCGGTGGCATCTATCGCTGCGCCATGCCTCCCCATTCTCCTATTTATATTCTACATGAACAGATTTGAGCCGATGGAGCAGACGATGGACCGAGACGAGTACTGGAAGAACTTCAGGTCCTGATTGCTACACTCCGGCGGAACACCCGGTTTTCCTCCATTGCGGTTGCCAGCCCATCCGTACAGAGCAGATGTAACCGGAAAGTGCACATATTCTCACTTTCACATTTTTTTACAACGCATAACCACATTTCGTGATATTCACAAGCCACTGCTGCATTCAGAGGAATACATGTTATCGGCTTAGTGCTGGTGTTGGTTGCACAGGTGGCACTATTTTGGGCCTGAACTGGATCACCACGCGTACGCCCAATACTTGGAGGCTCGCCGGGCAAAGAAGTGGAGAGGAGTTGACGTGAACCCTGAAGACTATATCCCGGAACAATACAAAGGCCAGTAGCGAAGGCAAAGACATCCTGTGATTCTTTTGGCTCGATGAGCTTCACATAATATTTTCCGCAGTTTCCGTTTTGGTGGTGCCTCGGGCCTGCACATGTATGCATACGTGGGTACATGCACACGAACGCATCATGCGGGGGACAGCCGGGGAGCTTTCTCGAGTTATTCCTGGCATACTCCTCTAGTGACTGGCAGGGTAGATAACAACAGTACAGTCAAAATAATTAACGCGACCTTCTTCCGGCTACAGAGCGCGGTCATCTTTTGTTGTTGCAAAGATAGACGGAAACATATGCAGACAACGGCAGACACCAAGAGCGGAAACGGAAGAGACATAGACGGAGGGAGGCACAGAGACACAGGCGGCAGGTGAAAGCGAGGTGTAACATACGACAGAATAACAAGGGTGTGTGCAGAATCGAGAGATCGTATTACTACGTTGCAGTTCTTTATTCAGGCGAAATCTGCCTCAACTCGCCAGTCCACTACTAGCTTAAATATGAGGTACTCCTGTTGGGTGAAATATAATTAGGCCCGTGTACACTGTGATCAGGATGTCTGGTACGTTATGCTGGCTCTCAAAAACTGAAGAAAAAACAGGACGAATATTAGAGAAACGACGCATAGGGCATCAGTATGTCATGTGCGAACCACCATAGCACACTTCGCTGCAAGTCCTGCCTTTCTCGTTCCTGCTGCAACACAGCAGCAGCATTGAGAGCCCTTTTCTCCCGATGCGCACGTCCCCTCCCAGCTGCAGAGGCAAGAGCAGTACCTCCCTCTGTGCTTCCTCCACCACTGTACTGCACGCACGGGGGGTCCTGCACTGCAGCGCGGGCGAACGAATGGCGGGATGGTACAGTCCCTGTTTTGACTAAAGGTACTGCAGCTGCACCTCTATTTCTGTGGTTGCGTGCTCTTCGGTGCCTTGCAGTGTGCGGGCTGAGCACCACCCCATCCGCTGCATGTAGGAAACGCGTCGCCGGTGAAGTTTGTCTGCTTCCTGCGTGCAGCCGTTCGCGTTCGTCCACGGTGAACGGGGCAGAAGGGTAAATGACACAAAAACTGGGGGCAGAGGTGCAGCGCCGGAGTTGTCGCGTTCCCCTGCTCACCCGACACCTCAGGCTGGGGGAGCTGTAGGACAAGAAGCGCAGCCGCGCACTCCATGGCTGCCATTTGCCACTCCTATTGCAGCCACTGCTCGCGCAGCCGTTGCTGCAACTGCTGCTGCTGCCTGTTCCGGGTGTTACGCTGGTACTGCTGCTGTCACTGGTGCTGCTGTCGGACGAGGTCGCTGCTAACGATCTGTGCTTGAGGGTTTTCAAGTTTCGACTCCTTTGTCTCCGTTCCTCTCTAGACAGGTGCAGCAGTTCCATTTGTAGCGCAACGATCGCCGGTGTCTCTGCTGCAACAGCAGCAGCTGCTGCAGTCGTCTCGTGTTTCAAATTGCCTGCTTCCTCTTCGGCGGGTCCCACAAGCTTTTCCCTACCCTCCGTCCTAACAACGTTCAAAATTCTCCTCCTGAATGACGTCGCCAAGCTCCGCACAAAAGAAAAACTCTGCTGGCGCTGCCGCTGTTCTTGCCGCGCTGCAGGTGGCCGTGCGAAGTGGATGGGGAGGCTTTCTATCGGTCCAGGGCGTCGATGTAGCTCTGTGGGACAATGCATAATAACACACGACGAGGCCATGCTCGTACAACCCTTGGCAGCTGTTCTAAACCCCAACAAACACACATGTGGCATAGTGGAGCAGTCAAAGGGAGACGCACCACCAACTGCATTAGTGACAACGTCGACTCCCTTCCTGCAATCACAGCAGCAACAACAGTATCAGCTGCTGTGGTTGCGGTTGCAGCAACGGGTCTACTGCGAACTTCAGCAGCTGCACCAAAAGCAAACTACATAAACAACAGCTGCAAAAGAGGCATCATCTACTCATGCAGCAGTAGTAAATTAAGAACTCATGCTGGCATAGTTGGTTGAAACACTTTATGTGTAGATACAGGCACCTCACCTCGGAGACCCTCGTGTCTGTCGGTGTCTGGGAGCGGAGATGGGTACCACATTAGCTTGCACCAGGTGAGGATCTTTTTGATACTGCTGCGGAAGAGAAGGAGACGTGCTGTGTTGTACTTGATCCGGTTCATCCAGTGTTAACTCTGCCCAGTCGCCATCATGTTCAGAGTCGCTACTAGAGTCATTTGATGTTTCAATTATCAGAGGCAGCGAGCTGTTGCTACTGCTGCTGCCACGCTCTGCGTCTCCTAAAAGCTGCAGCACCTCGGTATTGTTGTCCTCAGTCGTCGCGGCCGCACCGCATGGAGAACTCCACGGGGCCCCCCTGTCAAGATCCCCCACAACCTTCTCCCCAGAAGTAACATGAGACGATGATTTGGATGCTCGTTCAGCTGCACGGTGCAATAGCAATACTACCTGAGTATTCTGGTTGTGCTGCAGATGCTGGTGGCGCAGCAGTTGCTGCTCTTGTCTGCAGGGGTCCAAGTTGTGCCACCAGCTATGAAGTGGTTGCTGTCTTCCCTGTTGTTGTTGCAGGTGTTTTTGCTGTTGTTGCAGCAACATCAGGGAAGGAACTCCGCGCGTCCTTTCTACGGCATCTGTACGAGTTGCAGCTCGCTCAACTACAGCAGACCACAGAAAAGGCGCAGCAGGGTCCGACAAGGCCATCATGTTAAATCTTCGGATGTGTTCTTAAACTCAATAAGAAGGCAAAGTTCACACAGAGGACCCCCAATACCATCCCCCACCCCCCCTTCCCCCCTCCGACAGTCGGAAGGGGAATGGGCCCCTGGGCTCCACAGCTGAGGGAGTCGTATAGAACGGCTAAAAGTGAGGATAAATAAGTCCCTTGGGCTCCCTATTGTTGTTTTTTAAACGCCCAAGTGCATGAAGAAGAGAGCATGAAGGCCCGCCTCAGAAAACCAACAGCAGGTAGACCGGCAGGGGCCCTCGGCAAACAGCCACGATGCACAGGACCCGCTTGCTGAGGTTTCACTTTACTGCACGCAGACCAAAGCCACATGGAGAAAACAGCTGGATTTCAAGATCACTCTCAATGTTATCAGGCAGGATACAGAATGGCATCATGGAGAAGACAAGTGAGCGTAACTCCAAACCATTCATGTGCCGTGTGGAGCTGTCAGGACGCATCCTTAACTGAGTACAATATTGCAATAGCCCAAGTTGGTGTTTTAAACGTACCTAATGTGTTAGTGCATTTATTTAAAGGGGGAGAGGGTTTATTTGCGCATTGGGTCGCTGTTGTGTCAGGAGTTACATGTGCAACACTGCAACGACTGTAGGTGTGGGAGGTATCTTTTTCGAGGTCGCAAACTCTTCCACGCTGGTTGGCCTTTGGTGTTAGTAGGTGCATTTAAACGGGTTCGGAACATAACTTCGCAACCTGAACACGGGGGCGTCGTGAACAAAGAGTAAGGACTTGTGTTTGTTGTGCAGCGAGAGTTTTGGCCAGGCAACACGGTTGGCAATAACTGTTGCTGCCCTCCCGTGCTGCCCTCCCATATAATCTGCATCCATCCTTGCAAAGCGGACTCCAGAGGCAGAAAATGCAATACATTGGGGCGCCGTCGGTGATTAATGCGCTCTATTCTTATGTAGATTCATGTTAGAATGGTGACGCAAATGGAATGTAGGCCACCGTGCAGTGCTGCTTTTCTTTTCACCCTTCGCTTCAGGGCGGTTCGAGGAGCTCAAGCGTTTGATGTGATGCGCTTGAATGACACATCAGGGAGCGCTTCATGCCCGCAAGAGCGAGAATGTGTGATCCGTGGCCAGAACGGTATACTGCACAGAGGTTCGTAGTTCCTCGCGATAAATAATGAATAAATTGCCCACGTCTTCTGTTCTATCTGAGCCATCCCACAACAACAAATGCTGCAACAGCCTTTAACCCAGAGGGAGATCCATTAGCATACATGTGCAACCTCTTTACCCTCGAACGAGGACTGTTGTCTATTCATTTGATTCCACAGTTTGCCGCGGCTTTAGCTGCAGGTATAGCAGAACATTGAGTGCGCATTGCTCGTCTTGTGGGCACATCCTGAACCATCCACCAAGACCCTTGTCGAAGTGCTGCACTGTTGTAGCAGCCTTTCTGTAAAGCCTACGATAATGCTTCCTGAACCATGTTAGTGCACCTTTTGAGCCATCCTAGTATACGAAGCTAGATTGGTTGCAGGGGGAGCTTTAACCATCCTGTAATTTGTGGCACAGGTGGTACCCGCCAAAGCTGCGAGCAGAAGTTTGGTTGCCCACGGCGTTAAGGGGAACTCAAACCCCAGGGAGAACTGGAATCAACCCATGCATGCGTGCTCGAAGAATGTAGTGTTGCATGGCCCTGAATGCACTGTGGGTGTGGGAGTGGGCTGGTGAGCCCATTGGTGATATTCTTGATATGCTTGTCTGCGAATTCGCCGTGAAGGGGCAGGAAATGCAGGTGAGAACAGGGGACGACGCTTTCGTTATCGAAATCCCGGAAGCATTTCAAGTGCATTCGAGATTGATGTTGAATTTTGGACGGCGATGTTCCTTTGCATCCCTAATCACAACTCTTCCTGACGCTCCACCATAGCTTGTGAAGCTCCTTCGCAAATACTGGATACTCCTATTATCGATCCGCGCAACGACCTGCGTATCGACAAAATTATTGGGGACCACCAGCCTTGTAGATATTCTAATAAGAAGGAAGTGGCCAGTAGCTACTCAAGCTTTGTGTGGACTTTCACTCCCGCACAGAGTTTATGCATTCCTCCCCTGTTCCCCCACTGCAGCACCCACAACTTTTGGACTAGCCAACCACACAAAGGCACTTCTAGTGTGTTCCTGCTACTACATTTCTCCCGTTGATTGATGAAGGGGATAGTGCTCGTGCCGAAACAATAATGACCCGTTCGCTGCTGTCCTGTCAGAAGACGACTCCTAGAAAATATCCACTACTTAGGCAGGAGGTATGCCCCTTTAAACATATTTCAGCGGAGGTCGAAAATAAAATTTTTCTGTCCATCACGATACAGACAGCAAGCAGGCGAAGCCCGTCTCTTCTCTACCCAAATATCCTTGTGCATCACGCTCCACTACAGCGGCCTTAAGTGCTAAACGGCTGTCGGGAACTGTACTACAACCAAAATACTGAGTACAATAGTTCACCCCACACCCATCCCCGCGAACAAAAAGCTAAGTGTGCCCCTACCTCCAGACGCCTGGAAACCAACGGCACGGGATCCTGGGGCTAGGAGGGGAGAACGCGCCTGCACTTCTTGCAACTTCCCCCTTGCAGCTCTTGCCACAAGGGAAGCCCTCCAGAGAGCGCACTCACGGAGTGCTGATCCGCTGACACCGTTTGCAACTGTGTCATTGGACGAACACCAGTTTGATCATTAGAAACCAATAAGCGCGCGAGTACGAATGTATCGAACTACCGCTGAGGAACCCCGTTACGCTTTTCCTAGGCCGGTCCAACCCAGGGAAGCGCGTGACTAACCGCCGTCCCTATTCTCGCTGTCAGCTTGTGGTTATAGCCGAAGGTATTGACTTGCGCTGCTTAAAGGTGACCAGTCAACAGCAGCGCAAGGTCTACTCGCTGCCCTACTTGGGTTCGCAGGTTAGCGTTCAAGATCAGCAATCATGCAGGAACTTGTACTGTGGCTACGTTGACACGAGTATCAGGGGATTGAGGAGCACACGAATCAGGTGACCTCTTGCAAGGCAATGCGTAGCATTGTTGTGAGCTGTGTACCCGGCAAGCATGCGTGCTTGCTGGAACCTCAGCTAACCCAATGCATACGTACGGGACTTAGCGGCTGCCAGAGTCGCTGCGGGGCTGAGAGCGATGCGTTTGCTGGTCCGTTTGAAAGGTGGAACCTCGGTTTTCTCTCTGCAAGTTCAGCAGCCCCAAAGCAGCCCTTGCGTTACCTAGGAGGCCCTCTTTTCTTAGTTCGGAAGCTTCTTCGGCAACAAAACCGTAACTGAGCAATACATAACAACGAGACAGACAGACACAACAGCCGAACTCCAAACAGGTAACCAACGACTGCAATGTCTGAGCGTGCCTCTCGGTAATGCAAGAAATTCGACGACCATTTAAAAAAATCAAGGGTTACGAAACCAGACATAAATTGTGAAGCAATTTATGAGCGAAGGCTCATAAAAAGCAGAGGTACAAGAGATCCTCGTTCACCACTCACATTATCTGAGGAAGGAAAAAGCGCGGAAGCTGCACTGTGGAAAACGGCTTGAATCCCGTCAACTTCAACGCAAACTCCCACCTGCATGCGTGCACCGGAGATGAAGCAAATGCATGCATGTATGAGCAGAGCCTTAAACTGGCTGAAGACTGATATAAAGACTCGCAAGGGTGAGCATATCAGCAAGTACCGCCTTTAGAGTCTCTCCATACAACTAAACGACTCTTCTTCAGCAGTAGGCCGAAAATTGTGCGTGAGCACTCATGAGAAAGCCTTTCTGCGTATGCTTACCTCTCTCGGGAGTCTGGGGATGTCACAGTAGCTTTCCTGGGAGGCTCCTGCACTCAAAACAGGAAGTAAACATGTGCTGCTGTTTGCGGTTTTTCTTTGTTCAGCCTCATCTGGCCCATTAGTCTTTGGTTCTGTTGGGATAAACTTTGCTATTAATTCGTTATTTTCGCTAGCTACCTTCCCCTCCAGATTCGTGAATATGTACGTCGACCCCTCCTCAGAGAAGCTGTACCTAGACACCTCTAGAGTCAACTCCGCGTGAGTATGCTGCAGTCAATGAGCAGTGGCAGGCACAAGCAGCCTCAGCACTCTACGTCAGCAGTGCAACAGTACTGGAGGCAGAGGCAAAGCCAGCAGCAGCAACAGCGGCGGCACTGAAAGCAGAATCAACAGGAGCAGCAGCACAGACTCCGTCTGAGCAGCGTTTGAGAGGTGACAACGCTGCAATGAGGGATCATCGCCTCACAAACTTGCTCTTGTAAACTGCCATGAGCCCCTTCCTGCACAGTACAAATCTGATGCATACAGGACAAAACCCCAAACCCTCCGATGTGAGTGGGGCAGCGCTCTTTCCTTTCTCTGTTGCAAGGGGAAGTAAGCAAACCCCACGACGGAGTACACTAGAGAGCTCACGGAATATTCAGCTTTTCCATCGGCTTGCCCACAACCGCTTCAGGGAAAGAATCCCTTTGACACGCAGCGGTATATCTGCGCGTCCACAGGGTTAAGCCAGATCAACATGTACCCATTTTCTACATGTACGGTGTGACTTAAGATACAGAAATGGCAGTGTGTTGTTGCCAGGACAGGGAACGATGAACCAGAAGCGGAGAAATGGCGGACAGTCCACAGGCAAAAGCCAGCTATGTAGAGGTCCTTGGTTATTTTGAGTTCGTGTGGAGGGTTTACTGAATTTGGATTTATCTGCACTGTAAAGTGCGCTGCTGGCACAGAAGCATATTCGCACCGGTCAAGATCTTTAGCAAGAGGCAGAATGAAGTCTATGCGTTGTTCTCTCCTTGTGTTCCTCTGCACAGAAAGGAAGCATATACCCTTCTCTAATTCGCTCTCATGCGCGCCTCTCAACGGAGCCCTCCAAGCAGGTACCCTGCAACGGTATGGGATCCTGTAGAGCTCTCCATGAGTGCACAACGATGTGTCCGCTGCAAAGCTAAATTTGTACTTTTGCCAGTAGTCAATAGCAGTTTGATTTCTATCCCCGCTGGCACCCTTTCTGCTCAGATCCCAATTCCCTTTTGCTAGGTTTCTCGGTTTTATTGGAATGTGCCAAGTGAGTACTAGAGAAACCTTGACCATAAGCTGTAAACCCCTGCATTCGTTGCTCACATTTACATACACCCGAAGCTTCCGCTGAGCGATGACAGGTTGCACCTCGCACTCGTTGGCATGGAAACACAAAATAGGGTCGGTTGCCTACACGAGGTACACACACAGAATCTGAACCCGAAGCCCTGAATCCTACGTGTTACAAACGACGGCACTCTGCCCTCGTGGAAAGAGGGCCGGGGCTTCCCAACACAAGCAAAATTTCAAATTACTCAGTGCGCAACATGCTTCAGATGCCCTTACATCGGGAGTCGGAAATAGCATTATCATTCTGTTTTCGATTAACAGCGCCGACTTTCTTCCCGATGCGTCTTCAAACATGTTTATAGGAAATACGTATCTATGAAGACAAGCAAAAGACACAAATCCGCAAACATTTGCCCCCAAAGCGCAACCCTCCATACAGCTGAACGCGGCTAATCATACACAACGGTCTCGCTGGGAGCAATCTTTGGGGCTTCGGATCTATCGAGACCCCTAGTGCGCATGCAAAAACGGTCTTGAGACGAAAGGTTGCGAATTACTGATAAGTGCAGAGCAACCACTACGTCGGCCGGCCTGCTCGTTCGCATGCGCATTATAATTGTCTCTGTGTTCCTCTGCTTGAATGCGAAGCACGTGTGCTGGTTTGCAAGGGGTGGTGTTGCGATGCTGACTTGGAAAGGTTTGCGTAGGCCTGAGAACCCGTACCCTGCAAGTCTTCACCCTTCAGGAAATTGCCAAAATGAAGAGCAACATTCCATCTGAAGATATACGCCCCCGCACCACACACCCAATCGTACAAGAAGGTAAAACATATGGCAGTCAGTACTGTACGGTGCAGGGAGTTTATGCTACACCTGTCAAACTCCGCCAAGCTGGCACAGTCAAGCGTTATCCTTTCCCGTTTCCCTGAGGGGTTCTGCAAAATACAGCAGGACAACGAACAAAATGAGAAAAAAAGGGCTTCCAATATGTGTCTCTTCGATTCCCTTCCATTACAAGTATCACTTAACTCGTAATTTCAAAGACGAAAAAACAAACAAACCAGCGAAAGAGCAAAGAAATTGGCAACTACACGAACAAACACACAACAGACAAAGATTTCATCACAGGCATAAAAGGACTGCAAATGTCCGTTTCACAGCTTGTCAAACAGGCAAGCATATCAACGCACTTCAACGCCCGGGCCCAGCAAATACAAGCAAACGGCCGTAGGAAGTACATTGGCGCAAGCGTACGGTGTGAATTATTCTTATTTCTCGTCTTTCTCGGCTGGCCGTGGCACTGCAGCGGTTTGCCATAAGAGTAATGACGGGTTTAGCCTGAGGAGCACCGTAGTCCTTGTACAGCTCCAAACAACCCTTTGACACCACTCCCACTCTGCATAGACACGCACACAAAAGCGACCGGCCGAGCGGAAAGACAGACATCGCTGTGTAAGCTCGAAACTGACTATTCATGCTGCACGTTCAACTCCAGGTAAAGTGTTCGCCTGAAGGTCATTGTTGCACTCCATGAGGTGCAGCAGCAGCAATGGTCACACCTACAAAACACCCTACAGTGGCCTTCAGCACGTGTAACGCCACACTCAGCATGTTAACTGTCTCCACTAATGCCTGCAATCATGGTTCCATGCACTCATGATTGCATTTATATTTATTCAGCTTGGAAGATTGCACAAGGGAGCATAACGAGATGTCCCTCACTGGTTCGCTGTCCTGCCTCGCTGGTCTCCCTTGCGCCTGAGGAACCCATTCTCTTCAAGCTTGTTATACCACCTGAATTTCCACAGCAGTCAGAATAATTTAAATGAAATGCAGTTTGTCCATACGGTGATCCCATGTTGCATGTCGCGGTAACGCCCGTTGCGGTGCGCGCTGTAGGCGGTCAAGACGTCCCCGGCAACGGGGTTGTGTAGGCTTTAATTAAGTTATTGGTGGCAGGTATTGCCTTTTGACAAACCCTTGATAAATTTCATCAGTAGGAAAGGAAAATACGTATGTTTCTTCTTCTGGAGTCCCGGGCTGCACAGGAGCGCATGAGGCACATGTCGATACGGCTAAAGGTCACACCTTGGGCAGAAAAAGTTATCGTCCTATGCTCACTCCTGTCCAGCCGTTATACACAAAAATTCGTAGAAAAGATAAAAGGCCAATATCTCTGCAAAGAAAATGCCATGTCTGATCACTTAGATAAGAAACACTCCATTCTTTGCGTAGCGCACACATGTGGATACTCTTCTTGACCTGATGCGGGAAATGCCTTAATTCCTGCCACGGAGTTTTAATTTGCGTTACTGGCGACTGAAGACTAATGAAAATATGCACATGTCTAAAAACCGGGGAGTGGAGCATTACCAAAGAGAGAGCGAGACGGGACTCGAACCCGCAACCTCCGCCTCCGGAGGGCGACGCGCTATCCATTGCGCCACTCACTCGAATGACATCCGACCCCAATTTAGGTCAAGGCTTAATTTCCATCTCACCTTCCTTTAACAATACTCAAATAAAAACCCCGGTTTATACTTACTTTGTGGGTAATAACAAACTCCCGGTTGGTGGCATCAGCAAGCGTCACACAATCGGCGTTGTGCAGCTTAAGGATAGGCTGGGGATCCCCCGCCTTCTCGAAAAGCATCAAATACCCGTCCCGTATCACAAACACCCTAAATGCAAACAGAGCATACAACAAATAGCAAGCTAAAGAGAACTAGCAGACTTGAGCAGCTCCACGGGGCTCTAACTCCGTAGAATACTCAGCTAGCAATACAACATTGTCATTTCCAGGTACGTATTAAAACATTCACTGCACGCTGTGCATGCATATAAAATATTGCTACTCCGCACTAGACGATGTTCCTCAGGTTCAGGGGACCCAGCTCAAGCCTCTCTCTGGTTGCCCATCCACTCGACTTTTTCACTGCATTCTTATCCACCAAAACTCATCATTACGTCCTAAAAGATACCTTAAGCCGTTACAGGTGTACGTGCAACTCTCCATTTGAGCGCATGCGATTCTTCCAGCCAAATGCGGCTTACTCGTCATCTTCTGGCGGCTTGGGTTTTTCTGTACTTTCTTCGGGCTCCTTTGGTGAAGGAGGTGGCGTCAACTTGGCAGGTGGTTGATAGTACTTTCCTGCTCCCGCCACAGCTGCGAGTCTGCAGCAGAAGGTAAAGACCTATCCCAAATTCTAAGGGAAGGTGCCCAAGTGTGTTTAATGTCCGGACTAGAGCGTTTTGCAGCGCTGTCGGGAGGACTCACTCGAGGAAAAACTTCTCCTGCGTGCTGACCGTAATGGAAATCTCTGGGCTCTGAGCAGATCACAAACGCTGGAGAGGCTCTGGCTGAAGGACGCCAATGATACTGCCTCACGGGTTCGGGTGTACGGGTTCTTGGGCGGTGGTGGTGCTTGCCTCTGCCGACTTGAAGGTGATGGCGTGCGCGTCTTTGTCCACTGACATGGTCACCAAAGAGCATGGAATCGTCAAAGGACTCGTGTCCTGCACAGACAGTAGTCCCCTTCAGCAACCCCCAAAGACTTCGTTCCCCATAGATAGGTTATAGATCCCAGACAGGCACATCAACAAACAACAAAGGGAACAAACAGGCGAAGATAAACGATAACAAAATAGGTTAACCGTCTAGTTCCTGTAACGAACACAAGCGCTGAAACAAAATAATGTAAGAATTACATCAGGCGATGTAATTATCAGAACATTCCGCGCCTCGTTGTACTGGATGTGTCTGAACGTCCCACACGCACACAAACCATGTTACCCTGACGCCTGCTCAAGCGAATGCACAGCAACAGCAGCACCTGCGGCAGCAGCGCCAGCAGGAGCAGTCCCAACAGCAGTAGCATCCGCAGCAGCAGCCTAAACGAACCCATCATGTCTCTCCCTCGAAGTAGGCACCCCGTCAAATGCCACTCCTTCTGGCACAGAGACGTTGACAAGAATTTCCTCTTCTCGAACTGAAGGCGGCCGGCTGGAGGGAGGCGCCGAAGGCAGCGGCGGCGGCGCAGATGCTGCAGCAGTCCGCAGGAAGCCTCCGTAGGCCAGGCCGTGGCTCCACCTGGCCCACGGAAGCACACAGAAATAAACACAAACGCATGCACGCACATTCGAGTACATGCGTATGTACGCACAAGCTGGAACGCGAGCATCCCCTAATAAACCCGAATTCCGCAAATGGAGGTTCAATTAACCTCTCTGCGACTCAGTCCCGTTCAAGTCCCCGCCACAGGCGAACCCGCTAGCCCACGAGACGACTAGCTGGAAAATAGCAAGCCAGCGGGACTCATGGCTAGCTACTAGCCAGGTGGGCATGCATGGAAGACGTGGCCGGATCCGCCCAGTGCAAAACCCTGTGTTGCCAACTATTTGCTGGGTAACGGCCTGGCTGGATTGGCTAGCTAGCTGGCTAATTGTATGTGAGCCGCATTTGCCACCTAACAAGCAACCAAAAGAGGACAGCTGCAGGGGAAGACGAACGGTACCTGTTGAGTTCGTCTTCTGTCATTAGTTTGATTAGGTGTGTCTCCATCCGGCCGAGGCACGGTTCATATCCAAGCCTTATCTGCAGCAGGTTGGGATCTATAGACAAGCTGTGCATTTTGTGGGGACGCAGGACCGTCGTTGGCTCTTCGTCCTGCGGACACGCGCACGGTAACTGCGCCCTTGTCCTGCCTCCCCTGGCACCATCTCCCTAGCCGCTAGCTCCCAAAACATACACTGCATCTCCTCCCAACTGCTGCCTCTCACTTCCGTCCGCTCATACCCAACCGCCGATGATCCAATGTGTCCTGTCCGCACACGGCCTGTGCATGCAGTGTCTCCTCATAACAAGTGCTACGTAGCCCTACACCCTAGACTCTGAAGCCCATAGCCCTTATTCGTTTTCCATCGAGGGAAGTCTCCTTCTGATTCCATGGAATGCGACAGAGCGCACATGTGTGGCATGTGGGGCTACACTGTACTCAGGCACCTTGCTGGCCACTCTGTCACCGTTTGCTTATATGTCCTCATTTTAAATTCTCTGCTTATGGTATGACCTGCCCCTTCAGCAGCTATTGTCCCCTTGCCCCCCCGTTTGCTTTGGTTCCTGCAGCTTTGCCTCTGACGCTGTGCTCGCCTTATCTCTTCGTGTGCATCTCCCTCAAGTGCTCTTTCTCGTGTCTGTGAATTTCTGCATTTCTGTGAACTTCCACGGGTACAACTCTGCCTCCCTGCGTTCGCTGCTCTTCGCCTGACGGTGTGCTTGTCTATCGATGTGGCTCGATTCTGCCCCTCGTCCATTTGTGTCCCCGTCTTTGTCTGTGTCTGTCTGTGTTGCTACTGGTGCATCTCTCGCTTCTTCGGCTTGCATGGCTTGCCTTGGGGTCGAGGAAGAAAAGTAGCATGCCCTCCTTCACCGCCATTATTCTGACAGAGAAACAGATAAGCAATCAATTAATTAATAGTTCACCATCAATTGACTTCGCACCGCTAATTATGATCAGTCGTGCTAATTAATGCGCGATGTAGCTCCTTCCCAACACAACAAGGTATTCAACGCATTTCCCTCATCAAGCCAGCTATCTGGAGCTTCTCTGCCTGCACAGCGTGGTGAATACTAGAATCTCCTTATCCAGCGCAGCTGTATTCAAACAACTGTGTGCCTAAGCAAGTAACCGAATATGTGTCTTATTACACTATTACTCGTTCGGTGCTCCAAGACCTACAAATAGTAATAGTAGAGACACTATTATCAGCTTGCTGTGCGTATACAAAGATACAGGCATATGCGCTTGTTTAAATACAGTGGCGCTTGGCAAACATTCGTCTACAGGAGGAAGGAGATACTTTTGCATGCAGGCCTGTTGGTAGGTAGGTAGGTGTGTTTAAAAACAACCAACGCTTTAATTCAAGACACAGCATTAAACATGTTAATTTATGCACTTTTGAGAAGATAATCTGAATGGTCTTCAAGCTCACTTTTCGCGGTAGTCTGCCTCTTCCTCTTCTGCCTCAATCACCGCATGCAGCACCGTCCCTGATCGCCCAGACGTCAAACCCTTAAAGCTAAAACGTCAACCCTAAACTACTCTCTACACGGACAGGACAAAGGTGAAAGCCGGTCAGCGTCAAGACGCTGATGAATCAAGGAAGAAAGAGGGAGAAGAGACACACGGACAGGGAAACTAACAAAAGAGAGAGTCAGACGGAGTAACAGCCAACCGCATGGCTTCCACACAAATGGGGAGAAACAAAGAGAAACGGCAAAGAAAGTCAGGGGGAGAAAAGGAAACAACCATACGAGATAAAAGTCAACCGTGAAAGCACAAAGCGGCAAGACCCACCAAGAAGAGATAATGATAAGCACAAGGATTGGAAAGTCTAAGGGGACAAAAAATGGACAGGAAGGGCCAAGCAGGGGACAAGGCCACAAGGAGCCAAGGGAAGACCGACTTACCCGAATAGAAAAAAGACCCATCTGTTCTCCACTGCATAAGCATGCGCGCACACGTCTGGTACTCAGAAAGCAATAGCCCTGCGTCCTCCCCTACCTTGATGCCTACCGGGTGCCTAGATACATAAACTGCTACCCGGAGACAAGAAGGGCTACACTCCAGCTGCTCATGTATTGTCTCACGGATTCCCCCCGTCCCCAAAAACGCTCGTCGAGTCGCTCGAATCCCTCCAGCAGTCTGCAGAGATGGCAACGGAGAAGTGCATAGCAGTATGCAGCCTCTTCCACTTCTGCTGCTGCCGCTTGAGCTGGGTATTGGTGTTTGGTGTACCTTGCGTCTGCCTGAAAGGCAGTGTGGCTGGCCGCATGCATGAATTCCGAATGAGTCCATGGGAGGAACCAATTTCAGAGAGCTTCCGTGCCATGTAAACATGTGGAGGGTCCATATGTGCACAATCCACAGACGTCAGTGCAAAAGATGCAAGTACACACACGTTCTTAACATATTAATACTTGCATACATATTTGCCCATTTAGTTGCACTGTGCACTTGGGCATGTACAAACGTACGTATGCATGAAGACATATATGAGACTGCATGAAAACTTGCCTCTTGAGGATAACCTGCTGCTCCTCGAACATGCGCTGCTGAACTAAGGCGAGGGAAGTCCTGTCTTCGCGGTCGTCGTCAGCTGCCACTGGCACCAGGAGACAAATGACACGCATTTGTTCCTCTGGAGCATCTACTGTGCATGCGCTTCTGTGCATGTCTCGTCTACGTGCTTTGAACTGCCTAAGCCTTCTGCCAATGTGCGTCGATGTCTACTTATATATGGTTTGTTCTTTTCTCCAGCGTCTGTAGCTCAGTCAGGAGATGCTACAGGCCGGGACTTCTAAGGCGTGGAGGAGCTACAGACTCTTATCTGTTGCTTACGCTGTCTCTCTCTGTCCAACGCTTGTAGTATAAGCCCCATTTTGTTGGAGAGCGCCTCCAGCTGCGCCTCCCCCGCCCCTCTTAAGTGCTTAGGCAGAGTCAACACCACAGGCGGCACCAGAGCCTTCTCGCGATTCAACGCCTCTACCTGGAAACGCACAAGCTCAGTTGCTAAAGTTTAAAAGAGTGGCCAAATCCCTCAGGGCGTACCATTTAAACAGGCGGTACCTGGAACACGAAAACAACAGCACAAGCTGCTCAGCCACCAACACAGCGAATCCTCGACCTGACCACCGTATCTATTTCCGCCACAGCCAAGGGATAACCCAAGAGTTGAGCGGGCACTAAGAGCTGCAATCTTAGAAGCTCACTATTTTATAAAGCCTCTGTATCTCGGCTCGTTGCTCTTCTATCAGCTTCTGACCCTCCAGTAGGTTCCTGTAACCCCAGACACAACCCTCCAGCATTCCCACCCCTAAACCCTAGATCCCATTTCGTAAGACCTAATATGCAAACCACAACTCGTAAATATCGACAACACCGCTTTCACGCGTTGTGGGCAAGTGCCCTCCGTGGTTCCATTAAAGGACAACGCGAATGGCTACAGCATTCTGGGATTCAGGGTTAGGGCTTCTCACGCTTCTGACTGGACGAGGCACATCTTTGAAATCCTGAGTTCTGCGGGACAACAGCAAATACAAGGAAGACTTGCAGGGCTTGACACTTAAGGATTTCGCAGACAACTCAATGTCAGGAATTTAACGGGAAGAGGCGCCCTCCAAACTATAGTAGAGGACAGCTGTAGCAACAACATTTTGTGCCCTGGCAGCGAGTTCAGGGTCTCATACATCACACCCCGCCATGCCCGAAATGGTGGCTCTCTTTAACGAGCTCGACGAGAGTGTCGAGCTTCTTCCTGTGAAATGCCGCAGTGGCGGCTATCTGAGAAGGCCCCTGGACAGCAAGGCACCGTGGAGCCTCGAACGGGGCAGCTTTCCCCATCCGTTTACTACGGCAGCAGTTGTCCCCACCAGGGATTGGTTGAAGGTTTGCAGGAGTGTAGAGAGTGGGCTGGGTTCAGCTGTCTGCTCACCTTCAATGGTGTTGCCGAGTTGTCGCGTGGTGCCGCGGTGCAGTTCAATGTCTCTCTGAACCCGCACAAGGTCCCCCGCAAGCTGGGTTAAACACACACGCACAACACTGATATCGCCCTAGTTAGCTAGGTGCCTTGGTAGCCTGCTAAGGGACGCACGCACTGCCCACCAAACCGGCTTGTGGGACAGTGTAACAAGCTACTGGAATATGCCAGCCTTCTAATGAGGTGACTCAGCTAGCCAGCCAAGGATATAATGTAGCTGGTATAGCTAGCCAGTCGTTCAAAGCGAACAGAGACTTCATTTAGCTCCACCACCTCTGCCGGTAATTATCGCTGAAGAGCCTACGTAGGAGGCCCCTTTCAGCTGCTGGTGTAGCAACAGGGAGACCTTTGAACTTGCAAACTACCGGAGGTTGTCTCCCCAGAAGTCTGCCTGCCTTTCAAATGCCACCTTCTACGTTCTTCAGTCTGCCTGTGTAGGGTACCTCTCCGCCCCCGCCTTGCCCCGTTCCCCTTGCCTATGCCGCCCCCAAAATCTGTTTGCCTTTTGCTGGCGGCAGTGTCGTTTACTCTCTCCTTTTGCCCCTCTACTTCCAGCCTGTCTCGCTATGCCTGCTTTTGCGCCTAGTCATCCCCTCATTGTATCCCGTTTATCTGTCACCTGACTCTGTTTCCCCGTCTCTGTTTGGCCCCCTCCGTTTCCCTGTCCCCTGGTTATCTGCCTCATTTTCTGCCTAATTATATCAATTCTATCCGTAGCTTACGTCTTGAGGAGTCCGACCATCTGCTTCACCTTCTCCTGTTGTCCCAGCGAGTTTCTGAAGTTTATTGAGGCGGTGTAGCAGCCGCTGTTGCTCTTCCTTCAGCCTCTCATTCTCCGCTGTCTTGTCGGTGCTCTGCAAGAACGCGAACCTCAACGCAGTAGAACCTAAACCGCAAATCCCGGTTGTAAACTCTAAGCCGCAATGCCCTTCTACGGGCCTTATTGCCAGTGAATTGCTGTAGCTTTAGTACGGGCGGTTTAGGGTTTGACCTGCAGGTGCCTGATCAGAGCGTCTCTTTCAGCAATGCCTTTTTCTGCTGCAGCAACTGTCTCCACCAATGACTGCACTTCTTTGTCTCCTCTTCTTCGCAGTTGATCTAGGGCCTCCACCTCCCCCTTGAGGCTGTCTAGCTGGAGCCTGAGTCTCTGGTTTTCATGTACGTAATTTTCTAGGTCTGCCTGCAGCCGCTGCTCTTTGTCTCCTCGCCCCTGCTGCAGCAGCAGCACTGTCTCCGTAAGTTCCTCTATCCGGGCCTTCTGTCGCTCAATCAAGCTCTGCGCACTCTCCAAAGCTCGAGCTTCGCGCGGGGCGGCCAGCACTGAGGGCAGCAGCAGCACGTACACAACTTCAACAGTCAATAGAAACATCCGGAGACAGTTGGGCAGACGCTTGGCACCCGTGGAGACCCTTGCCACCTGAAGAGACACTTAACACCTGGGAGGACTCATAGAGACACACCCTTGACCTTCCAGAAACACCTAAAAGGACGAGCTGGAAGATCCTTAGACACACACACTGGCGCCCTAAGGGACGCTTCAGGGAACACCTGGTGAGGCACTTTAGAGCCGCTGCTGCAAAAAGTCTCAACTGAACACTGGCGAATTAAGGAGACACATTGGCGATGGACACAAACCATTAAACGCTGGCTAAAGTGATCAGCGAGCAGCTGCGACGCTACCCAGGGGCTCATTGATGGAACAGCAGAAATCCTAACTCAGCACACTCTCCAATCAAGTAGGCCGACACGCAAGAGGAGGTTCCTATTTTAAAGAGACACACCTGTAGCGGACAGCTATGGTTCTATGAGACACCTACATACAGCAACACTCAAGCTGACATTCATTGTCTACAGACTCCCATGCAGCAAACAGACTAAACATCGTAGTTAAACGCTTACACAAACCAAAGCAGCACTCTCAGGATCTGAGGAGACAGCATTCTCAAGATGAGCCCTCGAAAGCAACAGAAGTGGATACATGAACGGCCACCGGCGGCTGCATCAGCTACAACAGTTACAACTTCAGCAGCAATAGCAGCTGCTAGAGCTAGGACTTCACCAGCAGCAGGTAAGGTGGTGTCCAGGATCAGATCCAGCAGGGTCTCCAATCTACATATGTCATATGCCCTTCGTCTACCACAACTAAACGTCAAATAATTTTCAACAAATCCCCCGTTCGTGTTTTAACATTCCCATGTCCCCCAGTGGCTCACTGTCCGGGATACGCGAGCTGTGCAGACCGTCCTGGATGAACCGCTTGGTGCCTGCAGCTGCGGCAGCAGGAGCAGCTGTAGCTATAGGCATCGGCAGCAGCTCGCTCTGTGAATCCTGCTCTGACAGAGGCGTCGGGGGAAGCGCATCGCTGACGCCTACGACAGGACTGCCTGCAGGGAAGCGGGCCCCTGAGAATGGGGCCCAGCGTGCTTTAGAGACCTCCTTGGAATGCCAGGAGGCAGGAAGCATTGAATGTGCGACTCTATTAATTCCTACTCTGTGTGTAGTCAAAAGAGCAGAAAAGCACGGGCAGGGCCAGAAAAGGGAGGAACTGGTTTGGCGCGGGGGGGTGAGACCTGCCAACTGCCTCTTCTGGGAATCGGCGAACCTCTCAAGCGCAGCTCAGGAGGCAAATATGCGGTCTGGAGTTATGCCGAGGAAACCAAAGGCAAGCTAAGCGACAAAAACGCCGTGTGTTGCGCAGACAGCGTCGTGATTCTTGGGCACCACTCCCCCGCAGGTTCGACAGCCTGAGAGTTTAGAAGGGGAAGCAAAGCAAATGAATTTACAAACAGTTCAACCGGAAGAGGAAGGAGGGGGGGAGGGGAGGGAACAGACCGGCGGGTGCAGCTTCGTTGGCAACGGCAGCAAGTCCAGGGGAAAAAACACTGAAAGACGAACTAGATGGAAGCTCAAGAAGGCTCCAAAGAAAACCTATTTCGTCCAACGAATCATATCATGTATGCAAAAAGAAAAACCGAGAGACAACGTGGACAAACCACCACCCTGCCGCCTGCTAGTCCTCACGCTACACACTCACAAGACCACTCCGCTGCTTGCGCCAGACAGGGTATGCTTTAAACCAGCCTGACTCGCAGCTTTATCGGTATTAAAAGAAGCTTTATTGTATTATCTATTCTAGAATTCATCCCGAACCAGAAAACTAGTGGCTGTTTTCCCCAGTACAACAGGCGTGCTGCTGAGCTCCCTGCGGGTTGACCTCCAGGCCAACGGCGGAAGTGCAGGAAAGCCAGACCGCCGCACTCATTCATTCCCTCGATTGCTTGGTGATCGATTTGACCTTGTTTTTGGTTATTAATTGATGGGCATTAAAAGGCCTTTTCCCATAGATCTCGCGGCAGACGGTCACATTCTCTTGTCATACAGGGAGTTGCTTACGACGGCGTCGGCCGAGGGGCCCAGCCCAGTGGCTGCAGGCTTCAAGAGCAGCTTAGAGAACGTTTCTATTTCTTTAATTTAGCTTCTGCGAACGGTAAGCACTAGTTGGCCGTGCACTGTCTTGTCACCTCCCCTGTGCAATTCTAACTTCCTCAAAGGTAACAGAGTATTGGTAACAAGCATCCTCGATCATTTCCAAGAACCACCGAGAATTGAAATAGAGCAAAAATACTGAAGATAAGTGTTTCCTAAATTGTCTACTGACCCGTCTCCCAAGTCTCCTAGCGCCATGGCCACAGCAGCCCAAGCCCTTGGAGGTGGTGAAGGGGAGGCCACTTGAGGTGAATTGCAACGCATCTTGCTGCAACTCATGATGCAAAGCAGCCCAGATGCAAGAACAACCGATCCCTGCTTACTGTATTCACTAACAACGCAAGAAAGCATTGAACATTTCTGCTTGTGTATCGGCCGCCAACTGGCGTGGAGGTTGCCGAGGCAAAGTACATGCCCATGTGCCCTCTACGGAGAGACTATGTTGTGACAGGCGTGTAACAGGCGTGAATATATTTGCATATGTATATATCAACATATGTGCGCTTTTGTTTATTCCTGTTGGCTCCTCGTCCTTCTATTGTCTTGATTGGGAGGGCTGCTACTCACCTTGCAGCAAGAAAGCGAGTCAAAAACCCCGGCAGTCTGTTGCTGCTAATCAAATACAGACTTAGGACTCAGGGCTCTCTTTGAGTTGAGAAGGGACGTTTGCCGCGGCCTGTTGCCAGTCTTGCGTGTTTTGCAATTTCACAGGTTAAAGTGTGGTTTAATCGTTTACAGCTGGTGGTTATACAAAAACGGTTGGAAATGATCTAGATGTCGGCTGGCTAGTTCGTGCCGCAGAATGTCTGCAGTACCTCCTTGTTACCTCCTTACAGTGAATTCTTTCGTGCTCCCTTTCTCACTGCATTCATGCAATCACAGGCCCTCAAAGCCATATACAATGGAGCACAGAAGAACAAATACAGGCACAAATGGGCTAAAGAAAGTGTACATTATACACCTATATACGCATTCGTATGCGTATGCACTCGAGTACAGTCCCGTATGTACTCGACGGGTATCCCAGTAGAGTTGCATGACCTCCCTACCCGCCTCTCCCGGAGAATTAAACCAGCATGTGCATCCATCTGTTCAGCAGGTACCACCAGAGCGGGAACAAAGAGAGAGCCACCAAACAATTTAACAGCACACACCAAGGCAGCCGCCGGGACTGCGTCGAGTCTGCGGTGCAAGTATAGTTCAAGCAGAGGCTTCTAAAAGGCGGCCGCCACAGCAGAGCGACACCTAAAAACAATTGCCAAAGTCCCAAAGCCAATCAAAAAGAGGCAGCGAAAGACAAAGCCCCGAGCTTTGAAACCCTGAGACCCGGCGCTCTTGCATGCATGCAAGCATGCATGCACCCTGCATGCATACACGCGTGCATGGCTGCATCATGCAAGGACTGCGAAGGGTTTGTGGGGCCCCTCTACAAAAGTGGGTTGAAAATACGCTAAGACCAGATGGCACACTCGCACCTGCATTGCGGCGAAATGCCAGGCCTACGATGATCATTGGAGGATAGAATAGCTAGCTAGCTAGCCAGCAAGGTAGCGGGCGGGGGGCCTGGCTAGCTAGCGAGCTAGAAGGCAACTACAGGAGCTGCTGCTGGATAACAGCGCCGTCATACCGACAAACCGCAGCTACCGAAAACTTATGATGAATTCAGCGATTAATGAAATTAAAGACTATCCCGTGCTAGCAAGTTCTACTGCATGCATGCAGCGGTGAGTTCTTCAGTTGGGGCTGGCTAACGGTACTGGTGTAAAGACGGGCTTCCCCTGCAGATGTCCGGGATGCTTGTGGCGCCAGCGTTCCTGCTGCTGCCGGAGCTGCAGCAGCAGCAGCGCCTGATGCTGCTGCAGCTGGTTGGACCGCTTTCTAGAGCAGTGCTGTTAAGGGGCGACGCTACACCAGCTTTTGCTGTTGTGAGCGAGCTGTTCCTAGCAGTGCATGGGGAAAGACTCGGGCTAGAAAAAGGTCTCCAGTTCGCCTCCTCCCCAAAATGCCGACTCGAATAGGCCCCCTGCCGCTGCTGCTGGAGTGCATGCAGCGAGGAAGACCGGTTGTAAGGGACGTAATGCTGACAAGATATGGAAGGCCCTCCTACTGCACCCGACGAAGAAGAACCCTCTTTGGAACTTTCAACTACTGCAGAAGCTGCAGCAGTTGCGGCAGCTGTTGCTGTTGCTGCAGCGGCTGCGCTGCTGCTCGCCCCAGTTGAACGGTACAAACTCAGTACATCTGAGGCTGCCAGTGCAGCAGCTTTTGTGGCCGCTGCAGCAGCAGCTGCTGCTGCTTCCTCGTGCTGCTGCCGCCGCCAGGAGGCTGCAGCGGCACGGCAGCAGCCAAGTGGGTGCGGCTGACTCCCTACCGCAGCAGCAGTCCTTGCTGCCGCTGCCGCCCTGTCGACAGGCCAGCACACTGTTGAGTACCTGCGGCGCTGCATATACGAACTAGGCCGGTGGCGACCATATACACCAGGGCTGATGCTCCTCGGGAAGCTCAGACCCTTGCTGTTGCTACTGCTGCAGCAGCTCAAGCAGTTGTTACAGCAGCTGCTGCCGCTGCAAATGCAGCAACTAGTGTGCTGCGAAGAACCCAAGTTACGGCTCCATCGCAGCAGCTCGCGGTCGCCATCTAATCGCGAGAAGCTGCGGGAAGCAGCACTGTGGCGGCATGCAGGTGGTGTTGCTGGTCCTGCTGCAGAGTCAGACAGCAGGCCGCATGCATCTGCTGCTGCAGGTGCTGCCGTGCCGAATGAGCGATCACATAAAGAAGCAGACCGGCTAAACGGAATCGAATTCTTGCGATGAAATGCATCATGCGGTCGCAGTTGTTGCTGTTGCTGCAATTGCTGCTGGTGCTGTTCCCCTTGCTGCAGCTGTTGTTGCTGCTGCCAAGGAGTCAGCTGCCCCTGCAGCTGCAGCTGCCAGTGCTGCCGCGGCAGCTCTGGAGCGCGTCCAAGGCTTCCCTGGGACCTGCAACGAATACCGTGAGAAGCAGAAACTAGTTGCTGTTGTGCCTGCTGCTGCTGAGACAAGCCATCTCGCGGTAGTATGTGGGCTAGAGCCTGTTGCGGCAGTTTGGGCAGCGGCTGCATGCCGATTTGCAGAGGCGGTTGTGTGTGTCTCTTTACCCTCCTCCTCTGTGTAGCAAATCCGGGACCCTGAGCAGTCTGGCGCTGCTGCTGTGGCTGCGCGCGAAGCTTTGAGGACGCCCCTTTGAAACCACCGATTTCGTCGAAGTAAACAAAACCCAAAGCTGCTGAAGCAGCAGAAGCAGGCCTTGGCCTGTTCTCTGTTGCATTTTGGAAGGAAGTGTCTGCATAGTTCTTGCCCCTGGCCCCAGAGCCACAGGGGGAAGCAGACAAAAAAGAAGGTCCTGAAGAAAGCATTGGCCCCTCTGCCGAGCGGCAGTGTCTGAGGGCTGCAGCACGAGCTGCGGCGTCAGCTGCAGCAGCTGCAGCAGCAGCTGCTGCTGCTAGGCTGTTGCAGCTGGCAGTAGCAGGAGGGGGCAAGTCCATCAGCGGCATCAGACCCGGGTCCGGAGGGGGACGGGAAACCAGTGGCTCCCGCTGCTGCTGCACTTGCTTGCGCCCTGTAGCAGCATCCTCTGGCTCGAGGTCGTCACGCCTCTCTGATGACAAAGATACACTGCCGGATCTGCTGCTTGAGTAACTGCTGTTAGTAGCTGTGGAATGCTTGGGGCTGCTTGCGCTGCTGCCGCTTGAGGCCCCACTCACAGAGGCTCCCTCCTCCTCCCCCTCATCGTGTTCCGGCTGCTGTTTCTGCACGGACGTGGAGTGTTGCCGCCGCTTGGTGGGCACCCTGTTGCAGATAAGGTCCAGCATAGACATTTTTTGGTTGTCGTCATGGAGCAACCAAATGACGGAGAAGAAGCGTTCCGCCACGTAGAACATGTTTTCGGGTGTCCGTAAAAATAAAAACCTAAAATTGCAATAAAAATGGCGATTCAATCAGTTTCCTTACAGGAACTGCGCTCCGTCTGAGGCCCTCTACTCACTCTTTGCCACTCCGCGGGCAACCAACCAACAGCCGAAACTCCCGAACAAGCATTTAGGTACAAAAAGTGCATTTAGGTACGTCTACCGCTGCGAAGACAGACAAAGCAGGCGCCTTTCAGGTAAGGATGAGACGCTGCCAGATTTCGTGTTTTTTTCGGTTGCTGCGAGCTGCTGCAACACCATTACCCGTAGAAGAGTGCATGTTGAAGCTAAGCGAGGGGGGGCCAGGTAAAAGGCCCCTATCGGTGGTCTACAAGCTACTAGGGGCTTCAGCAGAACACTCAACACACAAGCAACCCAGAACTTCATCAAAACAGGCAGTTCCCAGAACCCCAGTTGCCAACGACCGCCCGAGTGGCAACGGTTGGTGGGTAGCCTCCTCCCCGATTCAGACCGGGTCGGGGTGTACAGTCGCCGTAGGTGCCTAGACAGGGTTAATCCTCCCACAAATGGGAGATTGCCCGGCAACTTCTTTTTTGCATGTAATAAATTAACAAAACTGAGTCCTTTTTATTAAAAAGAAGTGTCGAATCGCCATTTCCAAAGCTGCAAATCTGACGGTGGACCCACTGTGCAAACTTCCGAAGCGGAAGAGGGAAGACTGAGCATATCCAGCTCTTCGGCACTCCATTCAGCATCCGATATCCGAAAGAGTTATTACAATAATTGTTCATCTCATGTATACCATATTCCAATGAAAAACAGGAGAAGGAAAGGCGTCTTTCTTTCTGCAACTCACGACGGCTACGGAGCACCGTAGGTTCTGCTGGAGATGCATACCTGAGCTATGATTGTGGCGCAGTCAAATGCTAACCGCAAATCATATCCTGTGTGGCAGCTACATTCAGCAAAAGAGAAAGAGGTGAAGTCCGAAACTATTCGAATTTCGTGTCAGCCCGGGGGGAGCTGCGTTTGATGCGTGGGGGGCGGCAGCTCATAGCAATGGGCTGTGGGCGCCGCACTAAACAATAGCATAATAGGTTGCATGCTGCCAATGCAGCTGTTCCAGAACGTGTGCATCTGCTCTCCATGTGCTTGGGGCAGAATATGTTGGAGTGTCAATTAGACGTGAATGGAGCAGGTGTTGCAATAGCCATACGTAGCGGGGGGACTGTATGATCTCTAGTTGAAACCAATATAATAGTATTTTCCAGATAGTAGTTGACCTGTCTAGTGCCCTTTGTCCTAGGTACAGCTACTCAAAGGCTGGTGGCTTTGCGAAGGCGAGGAAACATATGCTTGAGTTGCAGGGCACATGCATGCTAGGACTCGTGCTGAGAGGCGATTCTGCATGCAACTCTTTGCTTTGAAGCAAGCAAAACACTACAGGCAATCGCTCAGCATTGCCATGCTATTATTATTTAACTTAAAAAATAATTAGAAAAAAACAACCGCAATTCTAGCCAGGCCACGAGCCACTTCACTGCTTGAAAATAGTGAGGTTATAGCTGGATGCGTTTGTTCTGTTTTTTAACCTGATGAGGGCCTCGATAATAATGGCCAGTTGAGTGTTTAGCAACCTCCTATGGTGATACCGCATGCAGCAGGCAAGCTAGGAGTTGCAGGAAGCAGCATTGCAACTCGTGGTAGATTCTGTCTTCTCGTCTCTACACCAGCACGGGGCTTTCGTGTCTTGAGAGGTTAGAACATTTTGTGGTGAAGCAGTTACTTGCAGCATATTCAAAAATGTTGTCTTACACTGTTAACAGTAGGGAGCAATTGAGTCAAACTTCACGAACTGTGAAGGGAGTACATTCAAACACAATACTTAATTAAAGGCCTCTCCTGCTGTAACATACGTTGACTCGATTGCTGTTTAGCGTTTTGAATGCATTGTCTTGCACTATTACCGGATGTTCTGAATAATTGCCCCCGTTTAAGGTTAAAACATTGCAGCTTTATAGTCCTCCTAAATTTGCTTTCCTTCCCCTGTATTTTCACTTTGTATTTTCACCAGCTACAGAACACGAACAGGGGTCAGCCACTCCGTCATTGGGATGCAGCGAGCGCAGAAGACGCTTACTATCTGAAGAGAGATATTGTCTTTAGGTGTTTTTCCTGCACCTGGCGATGCTGCAGTGCGGCTTGCTGTCGGCAGCTACACCCTGCAATTTTGTGGCATTAAGGAGGCCTGCCGGGCAGCGGGCCACACAACGCCACACAACTGCTGCTGGGCGTTTGAGTGAATTGCAATATCCGTAGATTTCCCGTTTCTAACTGCCGCGTGCACCCAGAGGCTGACCTGAACACAGCTGCACGAGTTACTGTTGTCTTTAACAAAGGCAGCAGCGGCACCGCCAATCAGCAACTGTTTCACCCCATGTTGCCTTCGGACGGAAAACAGAGTAAAAGACCGTACCAAAATCTCACGTGACGAGCAGACAGCTAATCCAGTGAGCTAGCTAGCTGGCTACTTCGAGATGGCTTGAATGCACCTCCAAGGCAGGTTAGCAACTCGCCCTGCAACTAAGAAATGGGAGAACTACACTTTATCACCCCTCTGCAATTCTGGAGCCCTTCTGCTGTCTCTGCCTTGTTTGCAAATTGCAATTAAAGCAGGCAGTCTTGACCGCAAATGGTTAGCTGGCTAGCACGTGGGCAGGTAGCTAGCTAGCCCGTGAGCTGCCCGACTAGCTAGCTAGCTAATCGATGACAACTGTCTATGGTGTGCATTCAAGAGCTGCCCCAGAATAACCAGCCTCATGCGTGTCTGGTTCGTGCTCCATGTTCCCTGTGGTCTGTCTCTATTATACTGTCGCTTGCTGCGTCTTCCATGTTATATGCATGTATATGCATTGTAGAGTGTACACGCGGCCCAGCGCAGACAACCAACGGATGCAGTGTCTCTACACTGCAGCCGCCGGCCCAGTAACGTCCTTCCGGTGCGCTGCCTTTACTAAGGGTCTAGGGAGTCTCCACAAAAGATGAGGAGCAGACGATGTGGCAGGAGGCTGTCTAGCAGCGAACAACTGCTGGGCCTCTCGAAGTTCGGTTCAGTGCAATGTCTATAGCTGCTCTTTCTGTGCAAGTGCGCCGTACATACACACAACAGTACGAACATGCCTTCAGAGCACAAGAGCTAGGAACAGCGCTCTTGAAGCGCCGGTCTCACACAGGACTGTATAAGCGCTATCGGCTGTGGGTTCCCCCCTGCTTGCTTGACTACCGCAGCGGGGGGTTTCCCACGCCCTCCCCATCATACATGGACGGCTAGCTGTTGCTAGCCCCAGCTAGCAGCAGCTGTGCCCTGCGGGCGCGCCGCTACATCTCCAATGTACAGACGCGTGTCCCCACAATGGAGGAAGATCGATGGCTCGATGATCCAGCCACCAGGAGCCCCATACCCAGCAACGCCCCATCTGTGGGGCCCGTCTGAGCACATGGATGAATGCACACAGACAGGCCCCACAGTTGTGTGCGCAGCTTGCAGCGTGCGTACACCGAGAGGAGGCAGAGCTTTATCGAGCTCCGCATGAAGTCACTTAGTCGCAAGTTGGTCTCCTCTTCCCCCCTCTGACACCGCGAAGAGCAGCACCAAGGAAAGCAGCCACAGCAGAGGGTTCTGCGGCGTCTCTCCATCTCAGGCAAAACTGGAGAGGAACAAACCCACCACCTGTTGTTTTGACAGCCGCAGTCCTCAATGTTGCAGGGGCCTCAGAGGAGCCATTTTTCTGCCTCCGTGTCTGTCTCATAACGCTTCTCTCCAGTTCTCTGCTCTGCTGTCTTTGCTGCCAAACACCCCTCTCTCAGAACCCCTAAGGCCTCCACTGCTACGGTGTCCTCTTGCGATGTCTGTACAGCAGGGGTAGTCGGTACGACAAACCCCACCGGGAGGGGAGCTTCTCCCCCTTGCCAGACTCTGCAGCAGCAGCTGCTGCTGCTGCTTCTTCTGCAGCAGCTGTTGCTATTGCAGCAGCAGACGCCGGCTCCAGCTGCACCCACGACCCTTGAAGCCGCCAGAGAGGATGAGCTGGTGCAGAATTCAGACCCTGCAAATACACCACAAAGCAGAAGCCTAGAGCAAGTACACCGCAAGAAGCTAGAGTAAGTCACAAAATAAACTGTGGACTGCTGTTACATGGAGACGCCAAGTCACGTGCATTCACGCATGTATGCATGTATCTATCGCTGGTGCTGCATGCGCATACAGGGCTGCATTGAAAAGAGATAGCGAATTCGTTACATGCACCTTCACACGCAGAGCCGTGGCCATTCTCGCCTACAGCTCCAAGCCAGAAGCAGCCCCTGGTGTGACAGCAGCAACATCAGCATCACCAGCAGCTTACAGGAGGGCGTCGGTGGTGTCTACTGTCTAGAGGGTCTGGTTGCTGTTTGCTTGCAGCCGCATCGCCAGGAGGAGGATTCACCGGTGAGTCTGCCCGCTCATAAAACAAAAACTCACGAGATGACGGCTGAGGGGCAGGCCAGTGAGGCAAGGCTTCCACCAGCAACCAGGGCCCCCCCAGAACCTCCTCTAAGAAAAACGCCCTCACGGCAATGGACGATATACACCTGAACCAGCAGCAGTAGCAGCAGTAGCAGCAGCGTGTTTTAATGAACGTGCAGAATGTCACCACACAGATTACCCGTATGGAGAGGGCTGTCTGAAGGTCACAAGGCTAAAAAAAAAGAGATGGCAGACCAAAGGAGAAAGACAAAGCGAGCAACACCCCACCTGATGCTGCTAAGCAGCTCCTGCAGTCGCTTGAAGTCATAGCGCATGCGCCAAATTTCTTCACTCAACACCAAACGCGTAGGGGCCGCCCACTCCGCTGGCGTCCTTCCCTTCACAGACAAGCCCGCGCCTTCCCCGCAGCTTCTGCCTTTGCTGCTGCTGTTGCCGCCGTTGCTGCTGTTGCATGCTGCCAGTTGTTGTGAAGCGCAGAGGCCATCTGCTCCCTCAAGGTTGGCCAGCAGCCGCTCTCTGTGCTTCTCCAATACCGCATCCGACAGCAAGATCTTCAGCGGAAAGACAGGCAATGCAGCGGCTCCTTGTTCCTGCTGCCAGTCTCCCCGCCTCCTCGCGCGCAGGTGCCATGGGACGGCAAGATGACGGGGGTCCCTTCGTGGGGCCCCCCCCAAGCCAAAGAGAAACTTCTCTAAGGCGTCCCCTCCGGTCCATCGGCTGTTGCCATCTGCAGCGCGGACGAGTACAGCCAGCGATATGAAAAAGCCACCCTAGATACACGCAAGCATGCAAGCACGCAAGCACACAGAAAAAGAAATGATAAGAACTTCACCAGAGACTCCTTAACTCCTATCCCTGCACGGCTGTCGCAGCTAAAGCGGAACCAGCCTCAGCCACAGCAGCGGAACGCAGTGTTTTCGGTAAAATAACGCTTCACTCCTATTCCTGCAATGACGGCTATCACTCTCGCCCCTGTTTCGATTGCTATTCCTGCTGCCGTTCCTGCGGCAGCAGGAACGGCAGCAGTTGGTGTTGCTGCTTCTGTTTCTGCTTCTCACTTCTCGCAGCAGTTTGACATCTACCGTGCCGCAGGCCGGTAGAGGGCTGCAGAAGTGGAGGCTAAGGATTTCCTCCAGGGCTAACTCCAACACCTTAGCAGCAGCCAGCTGTTCCGGCGACAGCTCTCCCAGCTGCAGCAGCTCGCCCCACACAGTTCATAGCCGCGACGCATGACATCAAACAGCAGTACCCACCCACAGAATCAGCTACAACGTGCATGCAACGGCAATAGCTTTTATTGCTGTTGCATGCATGGCATACATACAGTTGTTGTGATGGCTTATGCAAAGCTACGAAACAAAAGCAGGGGGACCTCGAAATCCCGCAGCAGCACCACAACAATTGGTGCAGCACGGCCACTGGCCATTGCTGTGTGTCTGAGCTTTGCAGCTACCTGCTGCAGCTGCAAAGTGGAATATCTGACCTGTATGTACAGCTGGTGGGCTCCCCCTTGACTTAAGAAGTACTCTTTATGAGAGCGGGTTCCCCCCCATTGCCAGCCTTTGGGGCTGCATGCAGCGGCCTTGTTTAAACTTGCAACTACCCTTACACGAACACGCGGCACACCCTGAGGTGCTGCGCGGAGCCTACGGCTACTGCTGCTGTGATTGTTGTTGCTGCTGGCGCTGATATGGTTGCGGTGTGCGTTGGTAAGGAAGGCAAGAGGGATTGGCTGCATGTCGCTCAAAGGGGACAACAGCGGCAGAACAGAATCCGCTGTTAACCCCAAAGAGGCAGCTGCGGCATCAGCCCACTGGCCCGCCAAAGCAGTAGACACATCACCCTGCGACAGCAACAGCAGTAGCATTAGCAGCAACAGAAGATTTGGTTTGATACGTTACGAACTGGGCCTAGAGCATCTGTGGGTTTTGCTGCTTGTTTGTAGTGATTCGGGTCGTCCGGTGATTGTGTTTAGGGGGTGCGGGTCTGGAATACCGCGAAGAGGGCCTGTATGAAGACTTTCTGGGTTAAGAGGGCGCCTGCCTTCTCTGCGTCTGCAGCACTAACAGTAGCGGCGAGTTCAGCAACGAGGGTGCGAGGGGCTCGGGATCTAAAGCTCAGTTTTGCCTTCATTTCGTTTGCTATACACTCTAACCAGCTGCTGCTGTCTGCTGCCGACAGCCGCAGCAGTGTCCGCTGCTTCACTGACAGAAACAAAGGCACATCCAGCTGCCCCGTGCAAAACGGAGTCTGCTGATTTGCAGCCTGGCTACAAGTAAAGTAGCGCGCGAGTTCCGGGGGACCCGCAAGGGGGGCCCACACCGGCCCCTCCTCAGTGCCCAGTGGCCCCCTTGGAGGGCTCCTGGAGACCCCGTTGCTGCTACGGCTCGCTGCCCACAACCCGGAAAACACCAAATAGATCAAATGCAGCATCGCGTTCGTTGGAGACTGAATATGAACCTGCAAAGAAAGCATGTGCGCAAGCATAGACGAACACTTTTCTCAATACAGCTCTATGTCACGACGAGCAGCACAACGACGGACAGAAGACGTGACAAAAGGATGAAAGCACAAATTTGATACAGCACAGGCTGCTGCTGATGGCTTTTATGCTGCTGCTGGTCCTGTTGCTGCTGGTGGCGGCAGAGCACCGGCAGATGACAGGAACGGGAGAAAGCACGAGACGGAGTAGTCCCGAAGGAGGCCGTGGGCGCAAGGGACAGCAAAAGAGGTAGTAAACATGGCGACAGCAGAAAAGGAGACAACAACCAGGATGGCAAACAGGGAGAGACAACAGACAACGCAGCAGATCGGCGGCTGCTCAGGGGGCTCAGAAAACCTTGCCTTCGCTGCCGCGGCCTGCAAGTCAACTCCAACTGAGACAGTGCCACTGCTCAGCGCTGCGGTCCGCAGTGGCTGCAACGCAAACACAACTCAGCAACCCTATCAGTGGACACGCCAGCTGCCTCCCTGATATCCTACCACTGCAGCGACACTGGGGAACTCCGCCTCCCGGTCCAACAGCGGAAGACAAGCACACCCAACAGCACAACGTATGATTCAAATCAGGGTTTAGAATAGAGTCTGAGTGTTTAGGATGAACGCTTAGAATAACGGTTAACGTTCTGCGTATATGATGAGGGATTCGGGTTAAGAATATTGGTTTACTGTTCAGGATATGTGTTTACGGTTTTGGACGAGTGTAGGGTTCTGGATACGGGCTAAAGCTGTAGGACAAGGGTTTACAAGAAGGGTCTTAGAACTGAGGTTAAGACTAAAGGTTCGAGGTTTAGTGAAGAGGCGTAAGTGGTTTAGGGTTGGATACATCTGAGAGCATATCTACGACGGTGTGGACAAAGAAGGAGAGGCCAACGAGTGTGCGGATGCGTTCATTGCGTCTCTTCTCCGTGCGTCGGCGGCTTTTGCTGTTTTTGTTCCTGTTGCTGCTGTTGGTTGTGGGTACTGGGGGTATGAGAGGCAGTTCGGGGTACAGCCAGAAAGTCGCTTCTGCCTTTGGCACTTTCTTCGGATTCCGCGAGTCTATAAACACTTCACATGAGACACTGCACGGGCCGCCCTTGCGGGGAGGGACAGCCTCAAGAGATAGAGATCTGCTGTCTACACAACGCGCTGCCGGATCGCTATCACCATCTCCAGCAACAGCTGCGGCCTTTGCTGGTGCTCGTTCCACTGTTGCAGCATCGGTGGATGATGCTGTTTCTGCTGGTACAGGACTTGCTGCGGCTACTGTTTCTGCCGCCTCAGCGTCCGGTGTCGCAGTTCTTTCTACTGAAGAAGCATGTGCTGTTGCTAATATCTCAGCAGCAGCAGCGGCTGGGTAGTGTGTCCAGCGGTGAGTCGGAAGGAACGGGTTTTTGATGGGCAGAGCGAGGGAGAGTCCCCTTGCAACGCGGAGGGTCTCCTCGGCAGGCAGCAAGGAGACATTTCGCCAGCTGCTCTGCCATCGCTCCTCCAGCGGTAATACCGCAAAAGGCAATCTCTGCAAAAACGCAAGGCGAGTGCACAACGGGCCCACCAGAGGAGAGGCGACCTGCAACATAAACATCAGCCACAGCCGCCCCACACCCACATGAGGAACATACACACAACCGAACACCGCGGCCGCCACTGATCTAGTCAAGGTGGGTTGGCTAGCTGACCGACCGGAAGGCTGCGCAGCTTAAGGATAAGTTGTCTGTCTACCGGGCTGGCAATCCGGGGGCTTTGCCAGGTAGCCAACTGCCGGCCTAGCTGGTGGAAGCTGGACGGTTCGTTGTCTACCCGTTCAAGCCCAACTTGTTGTTGGTTTGCTGCTTGGCTGTATCTTTGTGGCGGGATGTCTGTCCGGCTATCTTTCTGTTTGGCTAGATATATGTCTGGTTGCTTGTGTCAGTTCGGCTGTGCTTTGGTCCAGCTAGGTAGCCTTGAGTTAGCTGTTATGGCTAGATACGTGTTGGTATGGACACCCAGCTAGCTAGCTGAGTGTTGGATCGGCTAGGTATGTTTGTGGGCGTACGACGAGGACGAGTCGGTCTGGGTTGAGGGAACCAAGGAAGGCGGAGAAATCCTTAGGGGGAACTCGAGAAAAGAGGAACCCGTCACGAAAAGCATCAGGGCCCGCCCCTGCTTGCAACGCTTCTGCCAACGCTGCTGATTCCTGCAGAGGAGACAGCTGCGGCAACAGAGGCTGGTGCTTGAATCCTTCGGGGGGAGAAGGCGACAGAGAAACAGCTGGAGACAGCAGCACACCGCTGCCGCTGCTGTTGCTGCTGTCAAAGGCCGCTGCTGTGGAGAGCCCCGACAGGGAAGGGACTGCAGAGAATGCCTGCCGCTCATGTAGCTCAAAAGCTGTTTCCTCTGCTGCATAGCGCTGTAGAAGGTGTTCCCAAGTCTCCTGCTCAGTCACCAGGTGCTTCAGGAGTCTGATGGGGGACAACAAAGATGACACGGTTGCCACAACAATACCATGGACAGAATACACGAAGGGACAGCGGAGGCGACAAGCGGCAGCTGCTCAGGGAGGATGAGAGCAGCGCGAAAGGAGGAGGTAGAAGAGACAGCAACCAGCAGCAAGCACAACGGAACTGTAGCACACAGGCCAGGGATACAGGGGCCTCAGCAAGCGCAGCACGCGGCACCCCAAATCAGCAGCAACAGCAGGGGCACCGCATGTGTGCAGCAGGTGCAGCAGGAGAGACGGCTGTGCTTTGCCGGTGACGTAAAGAGACAGAAGGCCGTAGGCACACGCTGTAGACAAAAAAAGCTGGAGACACAGCCTCCAGCAAGAGGAGATATTCGCTTACTGCAAATACACAAAGAAGATCTTCCCCATCAGCTCCACAGTAAAATGTTTCAAGCTGCCTCCAGGCACCAGCAAAGCAACCCTCAACTCCGCCGCGCATGCATGCAGCCCCACAGTCACATGCATTGCTTCGGCCAGGCCCGCAGCCCGCAGGGCCCCCAAACAACTCCCGGGTCCCCCCATACTCAACAAATTAGCTGCCAACCTGCACCCCAAACAACAAACGGCAGCAGCAGCAACCGACGGCCAGTCATAATTTTCACAACGAAGGCTGTCAAAAGGCAGCAGCTACACGAATGTCCTGCAGGCTGGTTGGCCTCTTCAGGTGCATGTACACCTCCGCCACACTGAGAAAAGAGTCTCGAAAAACGGGAATTTGCTGTCCTTACATAAGGCATGCCCTGAGTCGCAAACCCACAGCAGCAGCAACAGCAGCAGTAGAAGCGGCAGCAAGGGCAGTAGCGACTAACGGAGGTTTGTGATGAAGATGAGAGGTGCAGAGACAGCCGAGGGAGACTGTCTACCTTTTACTTACTTGAGATCTGCACAAGGTGGCCTGTTGGGGCCCTCAGCATCCAAGACAAACACAAATTCCACGCTATGGGTCTGGCGATTTGCAGGCAGCATCAGCAGCAGCCGATTGAGGTCCTGTGGCCTCGCCACCTGCTGCTGCTGCTGCGCAGGCGTGACTGCAGCAGCAGCAGCGGAAACAGAGGAGATGTCTTCGCGTGCTTCTCCCAAGTCCTTTGGGTTGGGGCAGGCGGGAGGCCCTTTAGGCGAACGCTCTCTGCGTCTGCTACTGGAATCTTTGCGGGTGTCTGCTTCCCTGTCCCTGTTGGGTGCGTCTGCAGCAGCAACAGCAGCAGCGGTCCCCGCTGCTGCTGCTGCTGCTGGAGGCAGCAGCCATTCGGGGGCGTAGAGTGGAGGCTGGGGGTTTAAGGCCTCCACTTCTGAAGCCCGGTCATCCGCGCAGTTCAGTTGGGGCTTCAATCCCGCAGCAGCAGGAAGGGTTTCGAGGGCTTGTCGCGCATACAGAAGCAGTTCTTCGGGGCTGCACGGCCCCACCAAAACCAGCTTGAGCCCATTTGCTGCATAGAAGTAGGACCGCCAGAGCAGTGCAGCCTTCTCAATGTCAACATCTGCTGCCAACACATCTGCTCCGATTTCCTCAACGAATACCAGCCGAGGAGCAGCAAACCCTCCCAAGAGATCGTCTTGAAGCCTCCCCAGGCCTCCTCCTCCAACCTCCTCGTCCGCGCCCTCCTGCTCCTGCTGCGGCTCCTGCTGCTGTTGGGACGTATGAGCAGGAGCAGGACGCGGGGGTGGCGGTTCGCGCGAGAGCTGAAGAGACGTCAAGAACGGCAGCCCAGCAGCAGCAGTAGCTGCTGCTGCTGCTGGGGATGCCTGCTGCCGCTGTTGCTCCTTCTGCTGCCGCCGCCACTGCTTCTGCCGCCTCCTCCAGCCGCGCACGTCTTGCGATCGCCACTGAGACGACCGTAGCGCATGCAGCAGCTCCAGTCCCAAACTGTGCACGCGGTTAGCTCTGTGGTGGGGATTCAACTGTACATACAAAGAAAACGCAGCAGCCGCTGCAGCAGCATGATGGATTCAAAAACAGCAACTGCACCGACATAATACGTTCTAATAGTCAAGCAGGCGCACAAGCACCGACAAGGCGTCAGCAAAAGGGGCCAGCCAACAGTGGCAGCAGCAAAGGCAAGCCAACAACAGCGGGAGCAGCAGGTGTTGTGTTGGCAACCGGACAACGTGGCATTTGAGGATTGCGTTTCTTCTACAATGGTAGTCGGCAGCACATTTTTGCTGTAGCACCGTCTGTAGCTGTCTCAGCTCCAGAAGCGCGCCCTCAAGGTCCTGTTGACAGAAGTGCGGGACTGTGAAGACTTCCTTCAAGCCCAACAACGCAAGCTCCAAGCCCTCCACGGGCACCTGCGCAGACAACGAAACTGGATGCACGCAACCAGCCCCTCCAGGTACACTGTAGAATACGAACTGAGCAGGACTTCAGAGGCAACACACAGGAAAAGCGCAAGCAGATGCAGAACAACGAAATACAAAGAATTATAGCATCCATACACGGCTGAACATACATTCCAACAACTCCTTGTAAATCAGAACGAACCGGCACGAAGAAGCCAACTCACAAGGATTGCAGGTGCATGCAAACAATACGCAAATAAACAATTCTACACAGCTCGACATAAACGATCGGAGAAGCAAGCAGCCGGACAGAGATGTCCCGGCATCACTGCAAACTCAACAAATCAGGTCATTCCAAACAGACGCCGCAGTCATGCACGAGCATGGATGCGCTGTTTACTTCCTGGTGTTCGCTTCTCTTCGTGTGTGTGTGTGTGTGTGTGTGTGTGTGTATGTGTGTGCTTTGTACAGAGGGTCTGGGAGTGTGACCCTCGTGTCCCGCGCTTGTGCTAGGCATGTGTTTCTATCCTTTCTTTCTGACTTGTCTGCAGTTGTCTGCTTTTGGTTTCAGATGTAAGTCGGTGTTTTTGCTGTCACAGAGGCTGTCATTGTGTTGTTATTATTTTTGTCGTCGTCTTTTTGTTCGAGCCCACCTGGAAGGAGAGAGAAGTGTCTGTCTCCGAGACAGCCAGCTGCAGGGGCTGCGGACCGCCGAGAGTGCGCACGAGCTCCGCAAAAGAGTCAAACTCCTGTTGCTGGTGCTGCTTTTCCTGCTGACTCGCTTGCTGTTGCTGCTGTTGCTGCGGTTGCTGTTGTTGTTGCTGCTGCTTCTGGAGATGTTGAAGGCGTTCCGCCCTGAGCTTTTCTCCTCGAAATGTACAGTGCGCAACAAGGAGAGAAAGCCCCGGAAGATGTCTCGGCTCCCTCAAGACCCCTCCGAGTAGAGACAGACTCACTGACACCCGACGGCCCTCCAAACCCGCAGAGTCCTGCACAGTCATCACCTCCAGGCCGTTCGCCAGTCTGCGCACAGACACACGACAAGGAACCAAAAGATACATAGACAGATAAAGAAAACAAATATGTAATAAAAAACAAGCGAAACCGCATATGAGCGGGTGAACAATGAATAAATAAGGGCTCTAGCCAATCAGTAATGAACAGACAACAAATGAATAAACAATAGGTAAATCAACAGGCAAACAATGCCACACAATCAAAGAAGCATCACATGAAACCAAGCACGGAAGATGCCAATCAACGCACATGAAACAATGAAGCAGCAGATGAAACCAAAAGAAGAACAAAAGAAGCTAATCAACATGGAAGTATATAAACACACAAACGGGCTAACATGCACAACGAAGCACAGACAAGAAAACAGATAAATACCACATAACCGACATTATAGACAATTACTCGAGCTCTGCAACCTGCCCCAGTAATAAACGCATTTTCGTGCTGTCTCAGCAGACAGAGGGAGACGAAGACGGAAATGCGAGGGCTAGTCAACTTCGTTCACATCTTTCCCGTTGGAAAACTCCCGCATATGCATGCAGGCGCAAACGGCTTATCTATATTTGTATATTGGATATATTTATACACACGAAAACACAAACTATATATATATATATACATAATA